GGATAGATTGATATAGTTACGAGGTGCAATGTGCCTATACTAAGTGCAACTAAACTTACCAGTCGAGTCCGTCAGACAAAGAAGGAAAGGAAGAAAGACAACACAAACTACTTATACCTACATAATGACTTAAATAAAGTTTAACACCTAATTATAGCTAAGGTTAACCTGACACACTTTTATTACACAGTCACTCACAACAGGCACACACAGTATGGTAAGATAACTAAGTACAGTAATCAACTAAGGCATGGTGTATAAAAGGTGGCACTAAGGTGATCACCAACTAAATAAGGGTACCCAAAGTAACTATGGTAACTAACTAAAGACAACTAAACTAAATTGAATTAACTAACTAAACTATGACATGTCAAGTGTTATTTCACATGCGAAAAACTAATAAAGATGTGTAATCACATGTTAGTTATAAAGGCAACTAAGACATGACAAGTTCAAATTGAACAAATGCTTTTAAGTTTATAAAATATCACATCTTGTCAGACAGTGACAAGTAAATACAAGGTAATAATTACATTATACTATGGTAAACAAAACAGGGGATAAGATAATTACATGGTGAATAAATAAAATCTGATTATGTACAAATATGGATGTAGCAACTTACACTACATCATAAATAGGCAGTGATCACATGATCATGCACAATCTCAAAATCAGTCGTAGCTGATGAACAAAGTCAGACGTGTGTCAGCGATCTCAATTACATGATATCACATAGAAGTGACGAGTACGTATAGACTACTACACAAGTACAAGTAGAGTAGAGATGAGCGTACGTGAACACAGCTTCTCTGGCACTGATGTGGCTCCTCGCTCTCTTCCAAGTCACTTCCTCACTGGGGGCTCCATTTTGTAGCAGGTTAAGGGGCGGTTCTGTTCAGTGAAGATCAACGCCTGCTGGGGTGTGAGTTGTGACTTGTGCCACTACTTTCAAACATATAGTTTGTTTTGTTTTCACCCTGTAACATAATGACAATAATCAATAAAACAGTCATATCACATCTCTACTAATATAGTAGATTACACATAAAAGTTACAATTACTGATAATAATCATATATACCTATCACAATGTATTCATTGTAATACAAATTACTTGAACTGCATCAAATCCAAGAAAGTAATAAACATAAGTAATAAACACATGCAGTTCACAAAAAAAAGGTATGATATGGATTAATTGCAGAAGCAAAATATCACAATATCAAGGGAACACATATCTGTGGCAATGATATAAACATGAAATTATAAACACATTAAAAGGATAAAATACCTACCAAATATATGGTACTCGGGTGATATTACATTGTCCACCTTAGTGAAACAGCATGTCCATCTATAAGTGATACAACAAACAATTAAGTATATTATCCTAACCTATTATTATATCATAATGAAACATATACATGTATCACTCTTTAAAACAAACCTATTTAATAAACATATACATATACCTTACAGCACAACATTATCTGTACTGTGATATTCTTATAAATATACACAATAAACAGTTGTTAAAATAATATGGTATCTCAAGTGGCACAGACATTACATGTACCATCAAATAGACAACATGGCCGACAAAGATGGCCGCTAAGCAGGCACACATGCTTGTGTGTCACCTGACCTCATAAAAGATTACAATTATTACTAATAAACTTATAATGAAAATGCTGATGCAGTAAACATGAAAATCATGCCTATAAACACACAATATTTGACTTACACTGTATTCTTAAAACACATTCATACCTTCACTTCACACATTTAATATTATAACCTAAGCAAGAATAATGTTTATGATATAACTATAGTTAACAAATATTACATCCTACATAATATGTTTATAATTAAGTTAACTAACCTTAGACAGAGTGAAGTTGTAGACCAAAGAGAAGAAATCAGACGTCTGTCAAAAATATCACGTACGTCATATGTAAGATGCTTCTCGTGCGGCTGTATGTGGTAGACTGACTAAAATGTGCTGATGTTAGTAAAGAAGAAATCATACAACATAAAACTGACCAATCAGAGATCAAGGAATAGCTTGCCCTCTGAGTTAAGAACAAAAGATCACCCTGCTCTCCCACAATAATACAATAGGAGCCCAGGTCCAGCTTGGGGTAATCAAGCTGGAGACAAATACCAAACATACTCTAATAAAAACCTAATCCAATAAAACTACCACAACCAAACTGTTTAAAAATGATACCGTATTTACACAAATAAATAAATAAAATGTAAAATATGACACTGCCACAATTTTAGTGAAATTTATGTTAAAATATTGATATATATATGACATAATTTTATGTGGAAAACTTGACATAATTCACATATTTTAGAACTTGACATATTTTGGTCTTTGAGGGTTGTTCATCTTGATGTTTACTCACTTGTATTATAAAAATGACTTTCATTGCAAATTATGATAACACTGGTATCAATGCTATTGCTGGATTTATTCAAGTAAATTATAAAGTTGCAATATGATATTATGTGTTGATTAGGAGAATTATAGTCTTTAATACCACAAACTAAAGCTATAATTACCATTTATCTTATTATAGCACATATCTTTGCAAAAACTCTGTGACAAATCACAAAGAATCTGTCACAATTCATAAAGTTTCTGTCGCAAAAATTACAAAGACTCCACTCTCACTGTTACCAAGTTTCCTACCTTCTTAATACCATTTTTTTTTATCTGGGTACATTCCATTATCATCAAGGGTGCAGCTTAATTAAACCTTATGCAACCAACCATAAAATGTGTTGTTTTAAGCGGTCTGTATTTTGGGAGGTCTGTTTTAAGGGAAGATACCGCTCTGACTGGGTTCGGACTTCCGGGTGCTTCGTTTCGAGGGAAGTAAACCCAAGTACAAATTATTGCACTATTAATTCGCGATTGTACGCTTATAATTTTGTTTATTTGTTTTTTCACAATCAGCAATGTATATTATCTCTCATGAATAAATGATAATTGTGTTTTAATTATGTTTGTTTTTTGATTGCATGTGACCTTTAAATGAGTAATTGCATAAGTGCAGGGATACATTTAACTGAGAAGGTTTGTTATATTTTATCTGTAAACTTAAAATCTGACACCTATACAATATACAATAACTATATACAAGTACTTAAAATTGAAACTTATAATCTATGAAACTAAGAATGATTAAAACATGACTTGGCCACATACATATTTCTTAACTCTTTTATTTTTGATGAGTCTACACAACTAATAAAACATCATTGTTAGAATGGTTTAGTTTCACTGAGAAAATATCCTAAAACTTGTAACACTAATTTCGATTTGCGCAGCGATCCTTTGGTTACATGGGTTGTACGACTCCACGTGCTGTCATCGAAGCTTATGGAGAGCAAACGATCCAGCCCCTTTGATATATAAAATTGTCATAAACCTTACTGTCGCAGTTGTAGAAGATTGTTTATGTAACAATGTAAACCATTGTGAAGACCGCGCTGAATCGCCTGCGTTTGGCCAGTACCTTCTTACTTACGAATATGCGCGTTTGTTTACAAACAAGAGAAAAGTCCGGTCACGTGATATGCAAATTAGCCTGTGGCAGTGATGTTATGCTAAGTCATCGCTGCGCCGGAGTGTGGAAAAACCCAACCAAGACAGGGTCGTCTTATAATACTAATTATCGTCCAAACCTGTGTTCCACAGGAGATATATTGTGACATCGTTTTGACAGCAGATATTGCACAATGCCCTGGCATCATCATTTACATGACTCACAATGCTATGACGTCAAAAACCTGATGACGTCACAATGCTATGACATCGCTGCACTGCAAGTCTAATGGCTGTACCGTGTTCAGAGCATTCGTCACCACTCGCCCCTTTCCGTAACCTGGTATTCGGCTTGTCCCGGAATAACACGAGTGGGTCACGAATGTGTTCAGAGATGTACATTTTTCGTTGAAAACTAATGAGTGATTTTGGATGATAAATAAAATCTGTAAAATTTATCAAATCGTGGTGATATATTTGATATCAAAAGACACTCGGGTGAGACCCTCTATTTACACTCCGCAATATATTCGCATTTGCCCTTGGTATTGGCGACACGTACATTATGGCTGTGCAATGTATGAAATAAGGCCCGTCCGATCGGCCGAAGCAGTCTAGATTTCTGACGGAAGGTCTAAATTTACAGCTAGATGGTCTGGTAAAAAATTTAGATGTTCCATACATTTGAGTAAATTCACCATGTTTGGTCTGGTTAAATCCAATTTTGGCTGGTAACATAATGAAATTACCAGCCCTGATGTCTGGCTGGATTTTTGGCTTATTTCATACACTGGTCTGTGATTTGTCATAATCAAAACACTTTTCAAAAAATGTACGTTAATTGGGGGAAAATAACACTAAAATATCGATGTGTTTTTTTTCTGTAAGTCATAAATTACTATAAGGCTAAGTGTGTAGAGTGTAGGGAGGACAACTATATACACACGTATACATACAGACGAAAATGCCTACACATGTCGCCTCAAATTATACACATTCCTATTTTCTGAACTCTGTACATTCTAAATATTTGACTCTAAAAATTAACTTTCTTTCATTGAAATATAGCAATAAATGTTGACTTATTTTGTGTATGGAAAATATATGGGATACATTTAAAAGTTTCAGATTGACAAAACTAGTCTGTTTCATCGTGTATTAATAAATGCGTACCTATTTCGGGACCTATTCCAGTTGGAAATGATATTAATGAAATTGCGTAACCAAGAAAAATATTGAATAATGAAGTAAATTTACACTAAACAATCATTTACAGTCATCAGAAAACACAATATGCGAGGGCGTGTGTGTCTGTTATGTTCATTTACCAAACAGAAATAGAGTTATCGCTCTTGAATGAAGACGCTTGCGGGGAAGGAGTCGCCATGTAGCTTTTCACGGAATGACACGAGTTGGTCACGAATCATGTTTGAAGGTGTGTTCCGATTGTAATGCAACAGAGTTACGATGATATCCGACCGCACACGGAAGTAAACAAACATACCACCGATTTAGAACAACCAGTCACGACGTTTGCTGTGTATCACGATTTCTGAATTGATCTAATTATGGTAAGTGATGTCTTCTGTCAGTATTAGTATATAATAGATCTTATATAAGGTTGTGTCGAGAGAGGGGTGGACTATGTTCTAGAATTAAGCTGCCAAAGGGAAAAGGTGATTGCTCATGCGACGGGTGAAGTGACGATTTGTTTCTTCAAATTCTTGTATGTGTTTTTATGTGCAATGGGCCAGAATGTTGTGTATCGTGTCTGTATGTATATTGCAGGTTGTGCATAAACAGGAATTGTGAGGTAAGAATTGAAGGAAACACAATAAATATTGCTTGTATCAAGTGTCGATCACAAGCATGAAGTTCAAGACAGTGAAAGAAGGGGAGCAAGCTGTTGTCTACAATCACCTTGGAGAGGGGACCCTTGTCATTGGACCACAGAGAGTAAGTGACTAAGTCAGATTCATTCATTCGTTCGTTCGTTCGTTCGTTCGTTCGTTCGTTCGTTCGTTCGTTTATTCATTCATTCATTCATTCATTCGATCTCTTTAGGGGTTATACATTATTGCATGCACTTACCCTGAATCACCAAGCAGCCATCTGTCACCTAGCAGTCTCCATGTACTGTCCAATGATGCTGTTTTGAAGCATGAACGAGTGTTGAGGTTTGTATTCTGCCAATAAATTTATGCTGACAGTATAACGTATTAAATAAGGACATTATGGGACATTGAAGCTAGTTTCTTAGCAGTGTTACATACCTTAGTTCTCCATCATAGACCGCTTGAATGTTTACGGCATGGAAACCTTTCCTGCATATGTAAACCGCTTCTTCGTCTTCGCTGGCTCGTATAATAGGTATGAGAGTTCCATCTATACAATCTTTGGAAATCTACAAATGTGATAAAATGATACCTTGGTGGCTCATTGGTCCAGTGCCACCTTTGTGAATAAAATTAGTTTCAAGTGTTTCACGATAGCGTCATGTGTGTGTGTAAATACTCATGAGACAGTGGATTGGGATACACCATGCAAGTCCGCTAGTTCAGTGAAAAAGGATCCCTTACCATAAAATCTGAGAGCAGTTAAAACCTGTGTTACTGACGACAATGCATGAGAATGCTCCATTTGGGAAATAAGATATGGTGATAGTGAGTTTATAAGCTCCAAAATGGCATGACGTGATAGACCATAGTGCTTGATGATGCTGTCATCATCCAGGGTATGGAGAAACACCCTTGGTCGTGACTGAGTTGACTCTTCCTCAAATAAGCCAAGCAAAAAATATGCCGCCATCTTGAAGCTCAAGTTATGACAGAAATATTTGATTGATGAGAGGCGCTGGCCATTCTTTACTTTTGTCTTAACTTTATAAGATGTTTTCACTAAGATAGCTTTGTGGATAAGCTTAAGATTTCTGTCATAAAAATATGATAGGTTTTACAATGTTCTTATCGCTACAAACGCTTTGTGAATATATAAGCCCTTCGATAACTCCTACACAGCACCTAATTATGTACATGGTTGTTTACATGGCATCATTGCTGTTACTTGTTTTCATTGAAGTAAAAATATTAGACTTGCACTTTAACATGTACTGTAAAGGTATTGGAGGACGCCATCTGAGTGAAGGCACAGCCTTAAGAGCCAAATTGACAGACTTATTAAGGACAGAGGTCCATGCAAGTCATATAAATTGATCCGTCTTGGATCAGACAACCTGTGCGAGGTCCCTTCCAAACAGCTCTATGACAGCATTTACCAGGACCTGTTTTATGTTCGCTTGCACTGCCCAGCTGCCACCATTATTTGGTCACCAATGTTGCCTCTGCTCAAGCTGAAGCACAAAATAACTTAAGAGACACATCAGCAATGTTGTTAGGGGGTAGCTGGGCAGCTGGGTTGTTATCTTTAAACTCACCCCTCCAAGTCCCAGTACCAGGATGGGGGCCGCTTAAATAAACAGGGTATGACAGCCCAGCACCAGGCCATCCTCAAAGCTTTTGCAGCTTAATCGGTTCCTGGCTTGTTAACCTGTGTATTAAAACCTCTTACAACAATGACAGCATTACATAAGTGACAACTTTCCATAACCTGTAAAAAGACTTTTCGCCCTATGTATTGATGTCATGTGCAAAAATAGAACAATCCAATCAGAATACTCATATAGATCGAGGTACTGTGGTAAGAATGATATTGAGCTCAATTTTACTCAATAACTGGATAATGGCAGTATCTCCAATTCTGATTATTTCAATTCATGAAACAAATAAATCGTCATATCCACATCACAAGGTACATAAATAACAGATCCTATCTATTGGTGATGCCGCTTGATCGTTACCGTCATAAAACAACATACATGTAATATTAAATGTTGAACTTATGTTTCAGTCCATTTGTGATCCTTTGACTTTTGATAATAAAAGCACAGTTAAAGACAAAGAAAAAAACAGAATATTCAATATCTTCGACTATCTTAGATCATGATAAGAATTATGTAAAGACTCCTGATGGTTTATGATTGCTGATTGATACAGGTGATGCCATGTTTGTTTGTAAACACCGAAAGCAGTACTAATCTCACTTGTCATATTTACTTTATTACCGGTATCCTTCTATGACCACCACTGATGACTTTTCATCCGTTGGATTCCTCCTGTTCAGAAACCTATCCTTTGCATGATAACTGAGAGCAACTTGAGCACTAGTGCTCAGCTAGTGTTAGATGAAGCAGTGAAGGTGAGCTTCTGTACCTGTGGTGATCTGGTGATGTTCGTCCTGTAGATTTATCTGTTCCGGAAGCGGCTGCACCGTCTGGAACGCTACACAGCAGATGCCACCCAGTATATAGTGATGAAAGACAAGGATGGTGTGGTCAAACACAAACAGGGGTAAGTGTACAATGTATACATATGTAATAATAACCATTTCTTTCCACCCGCCCCACTGTCAGATGTCAGTCAAGACATCAACTGGTGTTTTTTGCTCAAAAGGCATTTTAGAGGTTTTTTTTAACAACCAACCAGACTCAGGTCCAATGACAGTAATGATCCTTTCAATGAAATATTCATCGTTGAAACGATCTCAAACTGACTTTGATATTTTTATAATTCTTTACACCTTTACACTTATCATAGTTCCCTTGGAACAGTTTGAAAACCCTCCATGTAACACCACTTAGATAGCTATAGTTACCAGTCAGATGACATTTGGTAGTTCAGGGTACCGACCCACAAAATGTTTGTAGCTCTATGACATTCACAAGCCTATGATAAACTATATGATGATATGATCATTTAAGCCAGGTTGTAATGTTACTGTAATGCTTTGTCGATAGGGACCCAGTGTCATTAACTCTCTAGAGCAATTCTCATGTGGCTTTTCTGGTCATTTTTTCAGGCTAGGTATATTTCCATCTTTCCCCCTAAAATGCTGTGTTTGAATTTCAAACTTGCATCCTAGTGGATTTTCTTTTATGCTCACCACAGATAAACATGATTAAAACATAATACTTTTTTGAGGCAATTTGGTCATTCTTCAATATTATGCCTAGTCTTGCAATGAACAGAAAATGAATCTGAGGTGTTTATGAGCTGATAGTTAGACAGCTGCTCTAAGAAGGCTAGAATACTGCTGCGCATGGCACCAGATAGCAAACAACCTTACATTGCCAGCAAACATTAAGATAACAGCAAAACATCTCAGATTTTCAATCTGTGTAAAGACACTCCATGCTAGTCTATGAAACATAGACAAGTGGGTTTTTTCAATTGTTTTTATCACAAATAACCTCTTTAATGACAACCAAGTGGAAAAATTGACATTTGTCCATCACCAACCATGGTCAATGAAATGGATACATATAACACATCTGGTTTTAAGTCTCATTTGGGAGAGCGAACTTCAAATGAGTACACAATCTGCAGAAATGTATTTTAATATTGTAATTATTTTCATTGGCCATGTTGTGCATGGTTGGTGTAAAATATAATTATCATATATTCGAACTGTTTTTTGTTTTGTATTGACATTCGAACTGTATTCTGTTTTGTATTGACATTGCCAGACCATGTGAGGTGTTCTTCAACCCCCTGATTCTGGACTCCATCAAGACAGAAAGTGCGTTGAAGCTGGACGCTAACCACATGGTAGTGGTGTACAAGAGACTGAAGGACAGCAATGTCCAGCGCAGGGTAATACAGGGGCCGGTAGTGTTTGTTCCCCAGGCGGAAGAGTGGTAAGGTTTAAAGCAGGGATTTATGAATTCACGAATTCCTGCGTCCTATACGTATAAAAATTGACTCAGAAAAAGTCCAAATACTTTTTGTAAAAATTCCAATCAAGTGACAATAAGTTATCACTGAGTTTGCTACAAGCTGGGTTATAGTATTATTTGCAATTCAATTACTGTAACAATGTGATGATCATGATACACAATACAATAACAAAATGAATAATAATATGTAAGTGTCTGGGACCCAAATTCTGTTGTCCAGGACCCCTGAAAATTAAGAGTATGAGTCCCAGGGACCCTCAAATACAGGACTACAGTATCAACATAACCACGAGCCCAGTAATGATCTTTAATGTATTTATAGCCATCACAATAGTATCAACATAACCACTAGCCCAGTAATGATCTTTAATGTATTTATAGCAATCACAATAGTATCAACATAACCATGAGCCCAGTAATGATCTTTATGTGATGTATTTATAGCCATCACAATAGTATCAACATAACCACGAGCCCAGTAATGATCTATGATGTATTTATAGCCATCACAATAGTATTAACATAACCACTAGCCCAGTAATGATCTATAATGTATTTATAGCCATCACAATAGTATCAACATAACCACGAGCCCAGTAATGATCTATGATGTATTTATAGCCATCACAATAGTATTAACATAACCACTAGCCCAGTAATGATCTATGATGTATTTATAGCCATCACAATAGTATTAACATAACCACTAGCCCAGTAATGATCTATAATGTATTTATAGCCATCACAATAGTATTAACATAACCACTAGCCCAGTAATGATCTATGATGTATTTATAGCCATCACAATAGTATAAACATAACCACAAGCCCAGTAATGATCTATGATGTATTTATAGCCATCACAATAGTATAAGGATAACCACAAGCCCAGTAATGATCTATAATGTATTTATAGCCATCACAATAGTATAAGGATAACCACAAGCCCAGTAATGATCTATAATGTATTTATAGCCATCACAATAGCATCAACATAACCATGAGTCCAGTAATGATCTATGATGTATTTATAGCCATCACAATAGTATCAACATAACCATTATCCCAGTAATGATCTATGATGTATGTATTAATAGCCATCACAATAGTATAAGGATAACCACAAGCCCAGTAATGATCTATGATGCATTTATAGCCATCACAATAGTATCAACATAACCATGAGCCCAGTAATGATCTATAATGTATTTATAGCCATCACAATAGTATCAACATAACCACAAGCCCAGTAATGATCTATGATGTATTGATAGCCCCTCACAATAGTATTAACATAACCACAAGCCCAGTAATGATCTATAATGTATTTATAGCCATCACAATAGTATCAACATAACCATGAGCCCAGTAATGATCTATGATGTATTTATAGCCATCACAATAGTATTAACATAACCACAAGCCCAGTAATGATCTATGATGTATTTATAGCCATCACAATAGTATCAACATAACCACAAGCCCAGTAATGATCTATGATGTATTTATAGCCATCACAATAGTATCAACATAACCATGAGTCCAGTAATGATCTATGATGTATTTATAGCCATCACAATAGTATTAACATAACCACTAGCCCAGTAATGATCTATAATGTATTTATAGCCATCACAATAGTATTAACATAACCATGAGTCCAGTAATGGTCTATGATGTATTTATAGCCATCACAATAGTATTAACATAACCACAAGCCCAGTAATGATCTATAATGTATTTATAGCCATCACAATAGTATTAACATAACCATGAGTCCAGTAATGGTCTATGATGTATTTATAGCCATCACAATAGTATTAACATAACCACTAGCCCAGTAATGATCTATAATGTATTTATAGCCATCACAATAGTATCAACATAACTATGAGCCCAGTAATGATCTATGATGTATTTATAGCCATCACAATAGTATTAACATAACCATTATCCCAGTAGTGATCTATGATGTATTTATAGCCATCACAATAGTATAAGGATAACCACAAGCCCAGTAATGATCTATGATGCATTTATAGCCATCACAATAGTATCAACATAACCATGAGCCCAGTAATGATCTATAATGTATTTATAGCCATCACAATAGTATCAACATAACCACAAGCCCAGTAATGATCTATGATGTATTGATAGCCATCACAATAGTATTAACATAAATAGTATCATAACCAGCCCAGTAATGATCTATAATGTATTTATAGCCATCACAATAGTATCAACATAACCATGAGCCCAGTAGTGGTCTATGATGTATTTATAGCCATCACAATAGTATTAACATAACCACGAGCCCAGTAATGATCTATGATGTATTTATAGCCATCACAATAGTATCAACATAACCATGAGTCCAGTAATGATCTATGATGTATTTATAGCCATCACAATAGTATTAACATAACCACAAGCCCAGTAATGATCTATAATGTATTTATAGCCATCACAATAGTATCAACATAACCACAAGCCCAGTAATGATCTATGATGTATTTATAGCCATCACAATAGTATTAACATAACCACAAGCCCAGTAATGATCTATGATGTATTTATAGCCATCACAATAGTATCAACATAACCACAAGCCCAGTAATGATCTATGATGTATTTATAGCCATCACAATAGTATTAACATAACCACAAGCCCAGTAATGATCTATGATGCATTTATAGCCATCACAATAGTATCAACATAACCATGAGTCCAGTAATGATCTATGATGTATTTATAGCCATCACAATAGTATTAACATAACCACGAGCCCAGTAATGATCTATGATGTATTTATAGCCATCACAATAGTATCAACATAACCATGAGCCCAGTAATGATCTATGATGTATTTATAGCCATCACAATAGTATTAACATAACCACGAGCCCAGTAATGATCTATGATGTATTTATAGCCATCACAATAGTATCAACATAACCACAAGCCCAGTAATGATCTATGATGTATTTATAGCCATCACAATAGTATTAACATAACCACAAGCCCAGTAATGATCTATGATGTATTTATAGCCATCACAATAGTATCAACATAACCATGAGTCCAGTAATGATCTATGATGTATTTATAGCCATCACAATAGTATCAACATAACCACTAGCCCAGTAATGATCTATAATGTATTTATAGCCCTCACAATAGTATCAACATAACCACAAGCCCAGTAATGATCTATAATGTATTTATAGCCATCACAATAGTATCAACATAACCATGAGCCCAGTAATGATCTATGATGTATTTATAGCCATCACAATAGTATTAACATAACCACAAGCCCAGTAATGATCTATGATGTATTTATAGCCATCACAATAGTATCAACATAACCATGAGTCCAGTAATGATCTATGATGTATTTATAGCCATCACAATAGTATTAACATAACCACTAGCCCAGTAATGATCTATAATGTATTTATAGCCATCACAATAGTATCAACATAACCATGAGCCCAGTAATGATCTATGATGTATTTATAGCCATCACAATAGTATTAACATAACCATTATCCCAGTAATGATCTATAATGTATTTCGATAGCCATCACAATAGTATAAGGATAACCACAAGCAGTAATGATCTATGATGTATGATTTTTATAGCCATCACAATAGTATCAACATAACCATGAGCCCAGTAATGATCTATAATGTATTTATAGCCATCACAATAGTATTAACATAACCACAAGCCCAGTAATGATCTATAATGTATTTATAGCCATCACAATAGTATCAACATAACCATGAGCCCAGTAATGATCTATGATGTATTTATAGCCATCACAATAGTATCAACATAACCATGAGCCCAGTAATGATCTATGATGTATTTATAGCCATCACAATAGTATCAACATAACCATGAGCCCAGTAATGATCTATAATGTATTTATAGCCATCACAATAGTATCAACATAACCACAAGCCCAGTAATGATCTATGATGTATTTATAGCCATCACAATAGTATTAACATAACCACAAGCCCAGTAATGATCTATAATGTATTTATAGCCATCACAATAGTATCAACATAACCATGAGTCCAGTAATGATCTATGATGTATTTATAGCCATCACAATAGTATTAACATAACCACAAGCCCAGTAATGATCTATGATGTATTTATAGCCATCACAATAGTATCAACATAACCATGAGTCCAGTAATGATCTATGATGTATTTATAGCCATCACAATAGTATTAACATAACCACTAGACCAGTAATGATCTATGATGTATTTATAGCCATCACAATAGTATCAACATAACCATGAGCCCAGTAGTGATCTATGATGTATTTATAGCCATCACAATAGTATCAACATAACCACAAGCCCAGTAATGATCTATGATGTATTTATAGCCATCACAATAGTATTAACATAACCACCAGCCCAGTAATGATCTATAATGTATTTATAGCCATCACAATAGTATTAACATAACCACAAGCCCAGTAATGATCTATGATGTATTTATAGCCATCACAATAGTATCAACATAACCATGAGCCCAGTAATGATCTATGATGTATTTATAGCCATCACAATAGTATTAACATAACCACTAGCCCAGTAATGATCTATAATGTATTTATAGCCATCACAATAGTATCAACATAACCACGAGCCCAGTAATGATCTATGATGCATTTATAGCCATCACAATAGTATTAACATAACCACTAGCCCAGTAATGATCTATGATGTATTTATAGCCATCACAATAGTATCAACATAACCATGAGCCCAGTAATGATCTATGATGTATTTATAGCCATCACAATAGTATTAACATAACCACTAGCCCAGTAATGATCTATAATGTATTTATAGCCATCACAATAGTATCAACATAACCATGAGCCCAGTAATGATCTATGATGTATTTATAGCCATCACAATAGTATTAACATAACCATTATCCCAGTAATGATCTATAATGTATTGATAGCCATCACAATAGTATAAGGATAACCACAAGCCCAGTAATGATCTATGATGCATTTATAGCCATCACAATAGTATCAACATAACCATGAGCCCAGTAATGATCTATAATGTATTTATAGCCATCACAATAGTATCAACATAACCACAAGCCCAGTAATGATCTATGATGTATTGATAGCCCTCACAATAGTATTAACATAACCACAAGCCCAGTAATGATCTATAATGTATTTATAGCCATCACAATAGTATCAACATAACCATGAGCCCAGTAATGATCTATGAGGTATTTATAGCCATCACAATAGTATTAACATAACCACAAGCCCAGTAATGATCTATAATGTATTTATAGCCATCACAATAGTATCAACATAACCATGAGTCCAGTAATGATCTATAATGTATTTATAGCCATCACAATAGTATCAACATAACCATGAGCCCAGTAATGATCTATAATGTATTTATAGCCATCACAATAGTATCAACATAACCACAAGCCCAGTAATGATCTATGATGTATTGATAGCCCTCACAATAGTATTAACATAACCACAAGCCCAGTTATGATCTATAATGTATTTATAGCCATCACAATAGTATCAACATAACCATGAGCCCAGTAATGATCTATGAGGTATTTATAGCCATCACAATAGTATTAACATAACCACAAGCCCAGTAATGATCTATAATGTATTTATAGCCATCACAATAGTATCAACATAACCATGAGCCCAGTAATGATCTATGATGTATTTATAGCCATCACAATAGTATTAACATAACCACAAGCCCAGTAATGATCTATGATGTATTTATAGCCATCACAATAGTATCAACATAACCACTGAGCCCAGTAATGATCTATGATGTATTTATAGCCATCACAATAGTATCAACATAACCATGAGCCCAGTAATGATCTATGATGTATTTATAGCCATCACAATAGTATTAACATAACCACTAGACCAGTAATGATCTATGATGTATTTATAGCCATCACAATAGTATCAACATAACCATGAGCCCATTAGTGATCTATGATGTATTTATAGCCATCACAATAGTATTAACATAACCACTGAGCCCAGTAATGATCTATGATGTATTTATAGCCATCACAATAGTATTAACATAACCACTAGCCCAGTAATGATCTATAATGTATTTATAGCCATCACAATAGTATCAACATAACCATGAGCCCAGTAATGATCTATGATGTATTTATAGCCATCACAATAGTATTAACATAACCACAAGCCCAGTAATGATCTATAATGTATTTATAGCCATCACAATAGTATCAACATAACCACAAGCCCAGTAATGATCTATGATGTATTTATAGCCATCACAATAGTATCAACATAACCATGAGCCCAGTAATGATCTATGATGCATTTATAGCCATCACAATAGTATTAACATAACCATTTGAGCCCAGTAATGATCTATAATGTATTTATAGCCATCACAATAGTATCAACATAACCACAAGCCCAGTAATGATCTATGATGCATTTATAGCCATCACAATAGTATCAACATAACCACAAGCCCAGTAATGATCTATGATGTATTTATAGCCATCACAATAGTATCAACATAACCATGAGCCCAGTAATGATCTATGATGTATTTATAGCCATCACAATAGTATTAACATAACCACTAGCCCAGTAATGATCTATAATGTATTTATAGCCATCACAATAGTATCAACATAACCATGAGCCCAGTAATGATCTATGATGTATTTATAGCCATCACAATAGTATTAACATAACCATTAGCCCAGTAATGATCTATAATGTATTGATAGCCATCACAATAGTATCAACATAACCACAAGCCCAGTAATGATCTATGATGTATTTATAGCCATCACAATAGTATCAACATAACCATGAGCCCAGTAATGATCTATAATGTATTTATAGCCATCACAATAGTATCAACATAACCATGAGCCCAGTAATGATCTATGAAGTATTTATAGCCATCACAATAGTATTAACATAACCACAAGCCCAGTAATGATCTATGATGTATTTATAGCCATCACAATAGTATCAACATAACCATGAGTCCAGTAATGATCTATGATGTATTTATAGCCATCACAATAGTATTAACATAACCACTAGACCAGTAATGATCTATGATGTATTTATAGCCATCACAATAGTATCAACATAACCATGAGCCCATTAGTGATCTATGATGTATTTATAGCCATCACAATAGTATTAACATAACCACTAGCCCAGTAATGATCTATAATGTATTGATAGCCATCACAATAGTATTAACATAACCACTAGCCCAGTAATGATCTATAATGTATTTATAGCCATCACAATAGTATCAACATAAGCACAAGCCCAGTAATGATCTTATGATGTATTGACAGCCCTCACAATAGTATTAACATAACCACAAGCCCAGTAATGATCTATAATGTATTTATAGCCATCACAATAGTATCAACATAACCACAAGCCCAGTAATGATCTATGATGTATTTATAGCCATCACAATAGTATCAACATAACCATGAGCCCAGTAATGATCTATGATGTATTTATAGCCATCACAATAGTATTAACATAACCACTAGCACAGTAATGATCTATAATGTATTTATAGCCATCACAATAGTATCAACATAACCACGAGCCCAGTAATGATCTATGATGCATTTATAGCCATCACAATAGTACTAACATAACCACTAGCCCAGTAATGATCTATGATGTATTTATAGCCATCACAACTAAGTATCAACATAACCACAAGCCCAGTAATGATCTATGATGTATTTATAGCCATCACAATAGTATCAACATAACCACGAGCCCAGTAATGATCTATGATGTATTTATAGCCATCACAATAGTATTAACATAACCACTAGCCCAGTAATGATCTATGATGTATTTATAGCCATCACAATAGTATCAACATAACCACAAGCCCAGTAATGATCTATGATGTATTTATAGCCATCACAATAGTATCAACATAACCATGAGCCCAGTAATGATCTATGATGTATTTATAGCCATCACAATAGTATTAACATAACCACTAGCTCAGTAATGATCTATAATGTATTTATAGCCATCACAATAGTATCAACATAACTATGAGCCCAGTAATGATCTATGATGTATTTATAGCCATCACAATAGTATCAACATAACCACGAGCCCAGTAATGATCTATGATGTATTTATAGCCATCACAATAGTATCAACATAACCACAAGCCCAGTAATGATCTATGATGTATTTATAGCCATCACAATAGTATCAACATAACCACTAGCCCAGTAATGATCTATGATGTATTTATAGCCATCACAATAGTATCAACATAACCACTAGCCCAGTAATGATCTATGATGTATTTATAGCCATCACAATAGTATCAACATAACCACGAGCCCAGTAATGACGTATGATGTATTTATGGCCATCACAATAGTATCAACATGACCACAAGCCCAGTAGTGATCTATGATGTATTTATAGCCATCACAATAGTATAAACATAACCACAAGCCCAGTAATGATCTATAATGTATTTATAGCCATCACAATAGTATCAACATAACCATGAGCCCAGTAGTGATCTATGATGTATTTATAGCCATCACAATAGTATCAACATAACCATGAGCCCAGTAATGACGTATGATGTATTTATGGCCATCACAATAGTATCAACATAACCATGAGCCCAGTAATGACGTATGATGTATTTATGGCCATCACAATAGTATCAACATGACCACAAGCCCAGTAGTGATCTATGATGTATTTATAGCCATCACAATAGTATAAACATAGCCACAAGCCCAGTAATGATCTATAATGTATTTATAGCCATCACAATAGTATAAGGATAACCATGAGCCCAGTAATGATCTATGATGTATTTATAGCCATCACAATAGTATCAACATAACCATGAGCCCAGTAATGATCTATGATGTATTTATAGCCATCACAATAGTATCAACATAACCATGAGCCCAGTAATGATCTATGATGTATTTATAGCCATCACAATAGTATCAACATAACCACAAGCCCAGTAATGATCTATGATGTATTTATAGCCATCACAATAGTATAAACATAACCACAAGCCCAGTAATGATCTATAATGTATTTATAGCCATCACAATAGTATCAACATAACCACGAGCCCAGAAATGATCTATAATGTATTGATAGCCATCACAATAGTATCAACATAACAACGAGCCCAGTAATGATCTGTGGTGTATTTATAGCCATCACAATAGTATCAACATAACCATGAGCCCAGTAATGATCTATGATGTATTTATAGCCATCACAATAGTATCAACATAACCATGAGCCCAGTAATGATCTATGATGTATTTATAGCCATCACAATAGTATAAGCATAACCATGAGCCCAGTAATGATCTATGATCTATTTATAGCCATCACAATAGTATAAGGATAACCATGAGCCCAGTAATGATCTATAATGTATTTATAGCCATCACAATAGTATCAACATAACCACGAGCCCAGTAATGATCTATAATGTATTTATAGCCATCACAATAGTATTAACATAACCACGAGCCCAGTAATGATCTATGATGTATTTATAGCCATCATAATAGTATCAACATAACCACAAGCCCAGTAATGATCTATAATGTATTTGTGTGTTTCCCCTCTGCTGTTTCCAGGATGCACATGTTCAACTGGCATGGCAGTGACCTAAACAACCAGGGCCGCATGATCCCTGCACACTACAAGTTCACCCAGCTCACAGTCATCCCAGATCAGTTTTATTATAACGTAAGGAAAAATAAATTGCTTCAGAGCTTTGCTAGATTTACATCGACACATTTCATTTCACATCACAGTATATTACACCCCATGTTCCCTATATGCCCCCTAATATCACATTCATGTCAGACCGTGTAGCCCCAGGTGTCACACTGATGTCAGACCCTGTAGCCCCAGGTGTCACACTGGTGTCAGACCCTGTAGACCCAGGTGTCACACTGGTGTCAGACCATCTATCCCTGGTACGACAGTGGTGTCAGACCCGGTAGCCCAAGGTGTCACACTGGTATCAGACCCTGTAGCCCCAAGTGTCACACTGGTGTCAGACCCTGTAGACACTGGTGTCAGACCATCTATCCCTGGTACAACAGTGATGTCAGACCCTGTAGCTCCAGGTGTCACACTGGTTTTCAGACCCTGTAGCCCTAGGTGTCACACTGGTGTCAGACCCTATAGCCCCAGGTGTCACAATGATGTCAGACCGTCTATCCCTGGTACGACAGTAGTGTAAGAACCTGTAGCCCTAGGTGTCACACTGGTGTCAGACCCTGTAGCCCCAGATGTCACAATGATGTCAGACCGTCTATCCCTGGTACGACAGTAGTGTGAGACCCTGTAGCCCCAGGTGTCACAATGATGTCAGACCATCTATCCCTGGTATGACAGTAGTGTAAGAAATGATGTCAGACCGTCTATCCCTGGTACGACAGTAGTGTGAGACCCTGTAGCCCCAGGTGTCACAATGATGTCAGACCATCTATCCCTGGTATGACAGTAGTGTAAGAACCTGTAGCCCTAGCCATCACACTGGTGTCAGACCCTGTAGCCCCAGGTGTCACAATGATGTCAGACCGTCTATCCCTGGTACGACAGTAGTGTGAGACCCTGTAGCCCCAGGTGTCACAATGATGTCAGACCATCTATCCCTGGTACGACAGTGGTGTCAGACCCTGTAGCCCCAGGGTGTCAGTGATTTCAGACCATCTATCCCTGGTACGACAGTAGTGTTAGACCCTGTAGCCCCAGGTGTCACAGTGATGTCAGACCATCTATCCCTGGTATGACAGTGGTGTCAGACCCTGTAGCCCCAGGTGTCACAGTGATGTCAGACCATCTATCCCTGGTATGACAGTGGTGTCAGACCCTGTAGCCCCAGGTGTCACAGTGATGTCAGACCATCTATCCCTGGTATGACAGTGGTGTCAGACCCTGTAGCCCCAGGTGTCACAGTGATGTCAGACCATCTATCCCTGGTATGACAGTGGTGTCAGACCCTATGGACCCAGGTGTCACAGTGATGTCAGACGGTCTATCCCTGGTACGACAGTAGTATTAGACCCTGTAGCCCCAGGTGTCACAGTGATGTCAGACCATCTATCCCTGGTATGACAGTGGTGTCAGACCCTGTAGCCCCAGGTGTCACAGTGATGTCAGACCATCTATCCCTGGTATGACAGTGGTGTCAGACCCTGTAGCCCCAGGTGTCACAGTGATGTCAGACCATCTATCCCTGGTATGACAGTGGTGTCAGACCCTATGGACATACAGTCATACAGTCATACTATGGTGTGTGTTTCAGGTTCGAGATGTACGGACAAATGATGACACTATGATCACAGTGAAGCTGATGTTGTTCTACTCCATCGTAGATGTTGTCAAGATGGTAGGTAACAAGACGACTTTAACACGGACATTCCCAAGCTCTCAACCATCACTCTTGATTTTTCTGGTTTAGTAACACTCTGAACAAATCATACAGTCAAAGCTTACACATTGACTGATGTCATGGGCATTTCTCATTGCAGTATTGTATATAAAGTATGAAGACTAGTGTATGTTCCAGGTCATGCCGACACACTACCTGTGTCTTAGTTGTATGTGTGATCTGTAGTACAACTGTCAGCTCGTGACTTAAGGAATATCTTCTTATCTCTCTGAGTGCTCTATTAACTAAAGCTGTTATTATGTGAAGAGGAACATATAATATACATTTATTATGTTTGTGTAATGAATGAAGTTATCCTGTAGCCTGATGTACTTGCAGCTGGACACCACACATGACCCGATCGCAGACCTCATCAAGTGAGTTGGAGTGTCTCCTTTGTTTCACACAATTCTCACTCATTCCAGCTGGCATTTCCCTTGCTCTGTGTTCTTAGTTGGCTGTAGTTTCATATATTTGTCCAACAGTTCTTTTTAAAAAACAACTGGTCATTTATGTAGACTCCGACTATAAGTGTGAGAAGAATATAGCCAGTAGGTGAAGCATTCGTCACTGATTCGGTACTGCTGTGTCTATTTGACCTGTTTCTTGTTGCAGTGCTGTATGTGCTGATGTGATCGCCTTTGTTGGAAAGCTAAGGTACTTGTTCAGCTTCTTGTGTTCATGCAATAATGTGCCCGCGGGTCAGTTTACAGCACCTACGCTGGTCATAACATTGATTACCAGTAAGAGGTCCTATTCAGTTCCATTGTATCATACCATTCACATGGATCGTTGATCATGATGTTATATTAATCACAGGATTGTCTGGCACAGATTTGATTATTGACTATATTGTTTAGGTAATAAACTAGTCACATTCTCAAGTATGTTGTTATAATCATCAGTTGCATATTGTTTTATTTAATGATAGCATAACATAATGAAGATAGTTCAGCTGACAGTTTGATACATTGTGGCATTGCTCTGAATAATGTGTTATTGGTTTAGCATCCCCATATATTCAGATTTTCCATTGTTATTTTTTGGCAGCTATGGAGCTTTTCTTGAGAAATCTTGCATATTGAATGACCTTGGAACCTATTCTCAACTTATCAGCCGCTCAGAAAGAATTGGTTTTAACATTGGAAAGGTGGTGTACAGGGGCTACCATTCAAGTGAACAGTTACAGGTAGGGGGTTATGTTATGCTAGACAGTAACTCATAACATCACGGCTAGCACCAAACTAGAACCAGTCTCACACTGACATCACTAGACTGGAACCAGTCTCACACGACCAGCACCAAACTAGAACCAGTCACACCAAGCCTGGACTAAACTAGAACCAGTCTCACCCAGCCTGAACTAAACTAGAACCGGTCTCACACAGCCAGCACTAAACTAGAACAAGTTTCACACTGACAGCACTAAACTAGAACCAGTCTAGAACCAGTCTCACACAGCCTGCACTAAACTTAAATCAGTCTCACATAGCCAGTACTAAACTAGAACCAGTCTCACACATCCAACACTAAACTACTACCAGTCTAGGACCAGTCTCACACAGCCTGCACTAAACTAAAATCAGTCTCGCATAGCCAGTACTAAACTAGAACCAGTCTCACACATCCAACACTAAACTACTACCAGTCTCACACATCCAACACTAAACTAGAACCAGTCTAGAACCAGTCTCACACATCCAACACTAAACTAGAACCAGTCTAGAACCAGTCTCACACATCCAACACTAAACTAGAACCAGTCTCACACATCCAACACTAAACTAGAACCAGTCTCACACATCCAACACTAAACTACTATCAGTCTCACACATCCAACACTAAACTAGAACCAGTCTCACACATCCAACACTAAACTACTACCAGTCTCACACATCCAACACTAAACTAGAACCAGTCTCACACATCCAACACTAAACTAGAACCAGTCTCACACAGCCTGTACTAGAATTGATCCAATATCACTCACAAAGCACTAGACCAGAACCAGCCTCACATTGTGTGCAAGTCTTGAACCATTCAGCAAAGAATATGCCTGCACAGAAAATGTTTTAGCTACATAAATTCCTGTCTGGGTGTTGCAGGCAATGCAGAACAATGCCATAGAGTCCCGGACACAGATGAGGCTGGAGGCTGAGGTGGAAGACCAGAAACAGAAACTATCCCATTTCAAGCTGTCCAAGGAGCAGGCTAGACTGAACAATAGTAGGTATCCCTGCCCCACTTCAAGCTGTCCAAGGAGCAGGCTAGACTGAATAATAGTAGGTATCCCTGTCTCACTTCAAGGTGTCCAAGGAGCAGGCTAGACTGAACAATAGTAGGTATCCCTGCCCCACTTCAAGGTGTCCAAGGAGCAGGCTAGACTGAACAATAGTAGGTATCCCTGCCCCACTTCAAGGTGTCCAAGGAGCAGGCTAGACTGAACAATAGTAGGTAACCCTGTCTCGCTTCAAGGTGTCCAAGGAGCAGGCTAGACTGAACAATAGTAGCTATCCCTGTCTTACTTCAAGGTGTCCAAGGAGCAGGCTAGACTGAACAATAGTAGGTATCCCTGCCCCACTTCAAGCTGTCCAAGGAGCAGGCTAGACTGAACAATAGAAGGTATCCCTGCCCCACTTCAAGCTTTCCAAGGAGCAGGCTAGACTGAATAATAGTAGGTATCCCTGTCTCGCTTCAAGGTGTCCAAGGAGCAGGCTAGACTGAACAATAGTAGGTATCCCTGCCCCACTTCAACAATAGTAGGTATCCCTGCCCCACTTCAAGGTGTCCAAGGAGCAGGCTAGACTGAACAATAGTAGGTAACCCTGTCTCGCTTCAAGGTGTCCAAGGAGCAGGCTAGACTGAACAATAGTAGCTATCCCTGTCTTACTTCAAGGTGTCCAAGGAGCAGGCTAGACAGAACAATAGTAGGTAGCCCTGTCTCGCTTCAAGGTGTCCAAGGAGCAGGCTAGATTCAATAATAGTAGCTATCCCTGTCTTACTTCAAGGTGTCCAAGGAGCAGGCTAGACTCAATAATAGTAGCTATCCCTGTCTTACTTCAAGGTGTCCAAGGAGCAGGCTAGACTCAATAATAGTAGCTATCCCTGTCTTACTTCAAGGTGTCCAAGGAGAAGGCTAGACTGAATAATAGTATGTATCCCTGTCTCGCTTCAAGGTGTCCAAGGAGCAGGCTACACTCAATAATAGTATGTATCCCTGTCTCACTTCAAGGTGTTCGTATCATCTGTTTCATATTCACATTTAATGGTCACATGTAATGTTTAATGGTCACGTGTAATGTTACAGAACACTGTTTAATGGTCACGTGTAATGTTACAGAACACTGTTTAATGGTCACGTGTAATGTTACAGAACACTGTTTAATGGTCACGTGTAATGTTACAGAACAGTTTAATGGTCATGTGTAATGTTACAGAACAGTTTAATGGTCATGTGTAATGTTACAGAACACTGTTTAATGCTCATGTGTAATGTTACAGAACACTGTTTAACTCATTAAGCCCGAGAGCCCCATCACTACTCAACACCTGGAAGCCCTCGCTGATTGCCCACTCTCTGTGCCGAGACTAATTAGTGCTAGTCACACCTGATTTCCCTGGCAGGTTTCAGGGATCACAGGAAACTGTCTAGTCGTACAAACAAGTCCTGATTGTTTAATTGTGTCGTAAAGATATATGTTGAAAGAAATCAGGTGTGAATACATGTCGTGTATTGCAAGCTTTATGTAATTTTATTGCAAGTTTCTCTTGTAGACCTTTTGTCGGCTTGTACATTTATATTTTATCACAATATGCATACACATGTATTCTTTGTATGTAACAGATGAGACACACGTTAACAAATTCTCTCTCTTATATCATTGTGTGAGGTTTAAATTTACAAAACATCTATGACAATGACATACTGTAAAGAAGAATTTACTTTCATACTATATAATCTTCGACGAAAATAGCGGTTTTGCCGATACATTTCTAGTGTTTACGAATTATTTTAATGAAAGTACTATAACGCTAGTCTGTGACTAGCACAAAGCACATTCATAGCATTGCACTTTATTTCATACAGATTTAATGCAGAAAACATACGTGACCATACAAACATACATATACAAAATGTATACTACATATTCCTTGCATAGACATAAAACAAAGAGTCACGTCATCAAATTTCCCGATAGAACGTTCGGTATCTCAACTGTTCAATGTAGTGGCTGGTCATATGTTATCTGCGACCAATCGTGATCATGAGATACCTGTCACAGAGGAAAGGACAGGTGATCTCAAAATTTCTGAAGAGCACGTTCAATCAGCAGCTTGGCTAGAGATTGGTTATTGGCTATATGTTACCAGTCTATGCTGGATTTCGGCTTTATCAACTCAAGCTATCATGATTGATACACACTGTCACTGTTCAGAGGATATGTTATCTGGACCAATCGTATCATGAGATACCTGTCACAGAGGAAAGGACAGGTGACGGGCGCGCGAAATTTCTGAAGAGCACGTTTGGTCAATCAGCGGCTTGGATAGAGATTGGTTATTGGCTATATCCTTGACCAGTCGATATGCTGGGTTTCGGCTTTATCAACTCAAGCTATCATGTAACAGTTTGTGTTTTGTAAACATACACACTTGTAACGATGTATGAAATATACACATAAGACAAATAGGAGTAGATAGTCACTTTGGCGAGTTTATTTGTCCTCATTTTAGTGTTTTTCGATAAGTAAAACAAAGCGATTGAAATCCAACCACTGAGTAGAGGTAGTATTTATTTTCATATACATTTTATGCACACAACTAGTACATAAAACATAATGGTTTGCTGTACATGTTAATATAATCTTCACCTTGATACGAATGACTATCCAAACTACAGTACATGCATTACAGAATTCACGAGGTGACAATTTACTGAATTATTATAGTGTATAAACTTGCAGTTGACACCCCCACCCCCAATATTTATGAAGGTGGGCGTGCCTATATCTTTACTGAATGCAAACGAGGTTCATAAGATTACAGATGTGCATGCATGTATAAACATCACAGAGAGGGGCGTGACTCCATAAAGCAAGATGTCTAATGATATAACAGCGCATCTGTTTATTTTACACTTGTCACGGGACAAACCTTTCAACAAGGGCGTAACTACATATGCATTCTACGGGGCTGTTATTTCAAGGTCGAAGAGTTCAATTATCTCATTACTGTAATCTGCTTGAATGATTATACGCGTGTGTATCGATACCGTAACTGATATACTATCCAGCTTTTATTGACGATGGACCAATGGAGACTGAGTTGATTGATACACGTGATAATTGCACCGGATTTGATAATTACACAGATCAAATACAAACGTTTTACAGAATGCTCATGTAAATTGCATAGAAAACTGACAATTCAAATCGACATGAAACTTTCAACAGCTTGAACAAAAATGCTTGAAATACCTTTGTATGGCATACATGTAATAACTTATGATATTACTTCTGTCCATGTGTGACAATGTTTTCAATTACCAACTTACTGTCTTTTGTAACAAACGTAGTAAAACATTTCATTGTTGTAATAACACTGACATGTATATAAGTATTCGATGCAAAGGCGCGACTTATCACTTTATATTCGGCTTAGGTAACATTACTTAACTTTAGATTATGGAAAACAACTAGTTACAATTCAGTAAACTTCAAATTAGTAAGTTCAATTATGTTTAATCTATTCGAGCTTGGATGTATAATTACTTGTGTTTATACATTATGTTTCAGTATATGAAACATGACAATGTAATGATGCCTAAAAAGTAAATTCAAACTATTCTATTGTGTTTGAATTCTTTGTATGTCCTTGAAATTTCGTATATTGTTTCCTATTTATTAGGTAGTTGAAGGAAATATAATTTTTAGTAACCTCTAAACCATTACATCTAATTCAATCAAGGTGCATACGAAATATTTTAGTATCCATTCCCAAGGAAGAGTACCAGGCACTTACCTCTGTAAAAACATCATAATCCCCTTTCTTGCCGACATGCGTTCATTTGCTAAACGCTGTACAAGCCTATGATAATGATTAGCAATTGTTATCAAAACACTTTAAATACTTCTTCTGATTGATACTAAAGGTGGGATCTCTCATAAGAAAAGCTAACATTTGCTAAGTACTGCTAAATTGGTTGAAATAATAGGTACAGTGCTATTTTTAAAAGTACAACACACATGTGCGTCTCTCGCTGAATAAGAGGTGCTTTCTGTTGACGACTGTATGTGGCTCTCGCTGTGAGAAACTGCTAATTACCTGCCCCATAAACACGTCACTCGCTGTGAGGAGCTGATTAATTTGCCCCATATATGCGTCTCTCGGCCTTAATGAGTTAATGGTCACGTGTAATGTTACAGAACACTGTTTAATGGTCATGTGTAATGTTACAGAACACAGAATGCATGAGATGAAACAGAAGCATCAGCAAGAGACGCAAGAACTGAAGCAAACCCATCACTTAGAGTTGGAGCAACTGAAACACTCTCAAACTTTGCAGATAAACAGCCAGAAGACCCAAGCTGACCTTGGTAGGTCAATCTTACCTATCCTTATGTGATGGTTGATAATCATGCTTGAGATTTTTCTGCCGCATGACTATTTCTATGACTGCAGGGGTTAAAAAATCCCATCGCCCGACGCCCGGGACAAGTCAGTTTTCATTTCGGGCAATCAAATAATGGTATCTTACTTGTCCGTGGGCTACTAGATAATTTCCACTTATGGTTTCAAACCGCAAATAAACTTGGATTTAATTTCATATCTGCTCAAAATGTAGCTATTACATTTCGCAAGGATAATAAAGTAGAGTTATCTTTCTTTGCTATTTATCACTTTTCAATAGATAGTCCAGGAAACATTAACATCAAATACCATGTTGATTTCTTCTTTCATAATTACATCATCATAATTATGTCATAAAATCAGGGCAAGTGGAAAATTAGTCAGGACAAGTTACTTTCTTAAAGTCACTTGCCCTGTGGCAAGTGGCTTTTAAAATTTTTGAACCCCTGGACTGTCAGTTTCATCAACTCCCTCATTATCAAATTTTACAAGACAGGGATCATCAAGTTCCTTCACAGGTCAACCTAGTGACTCCACATATTCCTTGTGTAGTTTGGTGTCACTGTGTAATCTGCATGTGTGTGATATCTGTCTTCAGATCACAAGAGTTCAGCAAACGATCAGAGGCTGCAGTTCTTGACCCAACTACAATCCCTGGGGGTCAACCTTGACCAGTACCTGGTCAGTCAGCAGAAGCCTCCCATCAGAGAAGAGATACATTTCATCAAGACGTAGACATTGACATTGTAGACGTTGGTGTCAGCGACATTACATGGCATATCTGGAGAATGATAGGGAGGGTGCTGCATACATCACACAACTCCCATGTATGGATAGCATTTGGCACATGCATAACATGGAATACTGGTAAAGATATCGTCACAAAAATATTCATGTATTATTGATATGTGGTACATGCTCCTTTTCCTCATGAAATGTGCAACGTATCCTATACTAATGGAAAAAAGTAACTGTGCACAGTAAATTGCATGAAATAAATGCTGTAAAAATAACCCTAAACAAAGATGTAGCCAAGCAGTGGCACATGCACTTTCCAACATAATGGGAACATGAAAGATTTGCCTCGGACCGGCCGTCCAAACGTGACATCACATCAGCAAGACAACCACATTTGGCTGACCTGTCTAAGAAATTGATTCCAGAATGCCAGTTTGATTGCTTGGACCATTCCTGGCTTACGTCCAATCATTTCCAGGACTGTACGGAACCGACTGAGGGGGTAGAACATCCGGCCCGGCGGCCTGCAGTATGTCCAATGTTGCTCTGACGTCACCGACAGGCATGCCCTGCCTGGTGTAGACAACATCTATGGTACAGGAGACAAGATTGGCATGGTGTGTTGTTCACGGACGAGTCGGAATTTCATCTGGATAGCTCAGATGGCAGTGCAAGGGTGTACAGACTGCAAGATGAACGTTATGGTGAGTGCCTTGCTCAATGTTGAAACTGGCAGCAGCGTTATGGTATGGAGAGACATCACAGCTCACGGTCTCACACAACTTGTTATTGTCAATGGCAATCTGACAGGTCTGTGATACAGGGTTGAGATCATTCAGCCTCATGTGCAGCCATTCATTCAAGGACAGAGACATAACTCATGCTTCAGCAAGATAATGCCCGTCCACATGTCGCTTGTGTTGTGACAGATTTCCTGAGAAAGCAGAACATTCCGGTACTCCCCTCGCCAGCTGTTTCTCCAGACCTGTCCCCTATCGAGTACGCTTGGGATGAAATGTAGCGGCGTTTACGTCAAGCCCAGAATCAGCCACTTACGTTAGCCGAATTGGGACAAGAGTTGGTTTCATACATGGAACAACATTCCTCAAGCTTTCTTCAATCGCTTAGTGGTGTCTGCGTCATCGTTGTCAAGCCTGCATCAATGTCAATGGTGGACACACACGATACTGAGTTTGTGAACTAACTTTTGATATCACATCTCTTGTGATGATGCCTAGTGTTAAATCATACAGGTTTCGATCTTTTCCAGTCAACAGTTAAACAGTGATTAATATAAGGAAAACACTACAAATCATGTTATTTTCTTTTTCCATTAAAAAATGGCATAGCATCACATAATAGGCAGTTACTTTATTCCCATAGTATATTTCTAGTCCATTTCTAGGTGTAACAGAACTGTAAACACAGTGTAACAGCAGAACTGTAAACATGGTGTTACAGCAGAACTGTAAACATGGTGTTACAGCAGAGCTGTAGACACTGTGTAACAGCAGAACTGTAAACATGGGGTAACAGCAGAACTGTAAACATGGTGTAACAGCAGAACTGTAAACTTGGTGTAACACCGGAATTGTAAACATGGTGTAACAGCAGAACTGTAAACATGGTATAACAGCAGAACTGGAGACATGGTGTAACAGCAGAACTGGAAACATGGTGTAACAGCAGAGCTGTAAACATGGTGTAACATGCAGAGCTGTAAACATGTAAACATGGTATAACAGCAGAACTGGAACTGTAAACATGGTGTAACTGTAAACATGAACAAGCGGAACTGTAAACATGGTGGTAACAGCAGAACTGTAAACTGTAGAGATGGTTGTAACATGCCTGAACTGTAAACATGGTATAACAGCAGAACTGTAAAGATGGTGTAACAGCTGAACTGTAGAGATGGGTATAACAAGCGGAACTGTAACATGGTGTAACAGCTGAACTGTAAACATGTTGTAACAGCAACTGTAAACATGTGTAAACATGGTGTAACAGCGGAACTGTAAACATGGTGTAACACAGAATTGTAAACATGGTGTAACATGTAAACATGTAACAGCAGAACTGTGGTGTAACAGATGGTATAACAGCAGAACTGTAACAGCAACTGGTGGTAACAGCTGAACTGTGTAGAGATGGTATAACAGCTGAACTGTAAACATGGTGTAACAGAACTGTAAACATGGTGTAACAGCGGAACTGTAGAACATGTAGAGATGGTATAACAGCTGGAACTGTAGAGATGGTGTAACAGTGGAACTGTAGAGATGGTATAACAGCGGACTGCTGGTAACTGTAAACATGGTGGTGTAACAGCGGAACTGTAAACATGGTATAACAGCTGAACTGTAGAGATGGTGTAACAGCGGCGGAACTGTAAACATGGTGTAACAGCGAACTGAACTGTAACAGCATGGTGTAACAGCTGAACTGTAAACATGGTGTAACAGCGAACTGTAAAGATGGTAAACATGGAACTGTAACATGGTGGAACAGCTGAACTGTAAACATGGTGTAACAGCAAACTGTGTAGAGATGGTATAACAGCTGAACTGTAAACAGCTGTTGTAACAGCAGAACTGTAAACATGGTGTAACAAGCGAACTGTAGAGATGGTATAACAGCTGAACTGTAAACATGTTGTAACAGCTGAACTGTGTGTAACAGCGGAACTGTAATAACAGCTGAACTGGTGTAACAGCGGAACTGTAGAGATGGTATAACAGCTGAACTGTAAACATGTTGTAACAGCGGAACTGTAAACATGGTGTAACAGCGGAACTGTAGAGATGGTATAACAGCTGAACTGTAAACATGGTGTAACAGCGGAACTGTAAACATGGTGTAACAGCGGAACTGTAGAGATGGTATAACAGCGGAACTGTAAACATGGTATAACAGCGGAACTGTAAACATGGTGTAACAGCGGAACTGTAGAGATGGTATAACAGCTGAACTGTAAACATGTTGTAACAGCGGAACTGTAAACATGGTGTAACAGCGGAACTGTAGAGATGGTATAACAGCTGAACTGTAAACATGTTGTAACAGCGGAACTGTAAACATGTAGTAACATCGGAACTGTAGAGATGGTATAACAGCTGAACTGTAAACATGGTGTAACAAGCGGAACTGTAAACATGGTAGAGATGGTATAACACTGTAAACATGGTGTAACAGCGGAACTGTAGACATGGTGTAACAGCAGAACTGTAACAGCAGAACTGTATATGGTGTAATAAGTGAACTGGATACCATTGTTGTGCAACATTTTGATAATCATCCCCTTGCCAGCCCCAATTCAAACCAATTAAACATCTTTGGGACTAGCTTGGACATCACATGCAAGGTAGAGATCCATGTTTAAAATCTGCAGTTACTGATGCAGACAGTCCATGAAGAATGGCAGGATTCAGATGCTGGGAATTCAATGCTATATTGCCATTTTGAGCAGGAGACTGGCAAATGTCTTCTGTTTGAAAACTGTGTTACAATCAGATTGATGGCGTAGTCAAAATGACCATAGTTTCCAGCATTGATATTCATGATATTCTCACACTGCAGGTGCCTAATTTTAATTGTTTTCATCAGTAAAATATGTTACGATTACCATTTTTGTGTGTGGAATTTGGTTTTTAAAGCCTATACCAACCTGGTTGTACTTAAATTTAAAAAATGGATCGTGCTTGATTAAAGCTGCTCATGTGTATATATCTTTACACATGTAAATTAAATGGTTTGGTTTGTCATTTATCGCTCCACTCAGCAATACAATAACATAAATAATCAAGTCTGGTCCAGACAATCCAGTGATCAATAGCATGAGCATCAACCTATGCAATTGGGATACGATGACATGTGTCAACCAAGTCAGCAAGGCTGACCACAAAATCCCATTAGTCACCTCTTGCAACAAGCATGGGTTGCTGAAGACCAATTCTAGCCCAGATGTTCACGGGTCAGGAAATGGATCTTACTGAGGTTTGTGATGCTGAATTTACCCCACAGGATGAAGACCACTTCTTACCAAATCCATCATGAGTCAATAAGACACTGGCAAGCATAAGTACAGACAACAGTTTATAGATCCATGTGAACTAATGATATTATCTCAGGTGCTTGCAATGTTTCTGGGATTATTAATACATGTATATGAGGATATGGGTATATGTCTTGCAATGACCTCATTTAGTACTTGTCTTCCACATCACTTGTGCCACGTCCCCACGTGGAGCTTCAGTGAACAGATGGATAAAAGTGATAAAGGAAGTTCTACATGTATTTCTTATCCTCAAAATTGCTGAACAGTGCAGCTGCTGACCAAATGTAGCCCATGTTGAGCTGCATCCCTGCACCTCGATCTTGTCTGATACAAACAGGACAAGGTGAGTGTTGATCTCTTCCAGGTCACCAACAAACAACATGCACAGAAATTCTGCAGTAAAATATATTTATTAGAAATGTATGATCTACTATAAAATTAAGTACAAGACAGTAACAGAATGAAGATGAACAGCTTGCACACTAACAAAGACTTCAATTGCAAATATAAGTAAGAGGGCAGAGGCCTTCAACTTCAAGTGTTGTGCCATCTTGAATCAGCACATGGTATCACAACAAGCTTCATCACAGATTGAAAGTTCCTGAGTTGGACTTGACAAGAAGAGTTAAGACCAGGGATTACACTGGGCTCCTGAAAATATACTCAATGTAATATGACTTTGTGAACAGGAAGTATTAGTTACAATCATCACATGCCTAGTTTCAGTTTGTGAGAAGGTCAACATGTCAACGCTATATATAGTTAAGGAAGCATTCATGAAGAAGAAGCAGCAGCATGTGAACCCTATGCACTTGTTGAGGTGACTATTAGGACCCACTCTCACATCAGATACTGATAAAGTAACGTATCATTACAAACATGAATTCCAATTCTCTTGTACGTACCACATGTCTACATAACAAGAATAGTAAACTGTATCAGAAGTACTTCTCATATGATACAGGACTTCATTTTGATCTTCATGCAACAGATTTCAAAATAAACCTTACTTTTAGTAATTTTTTACTGAACATGTTTTATTCACCAAAAACGGTTATGTCAACAATAATATTAAAACAAATAAGACCTTCAGTTGGTAAGGACTGTAAATCACAAGGCTGTATACTTATAACAGTCGTAAAGAAACATGGTTGCAATTGGCAAACTTGATTATTCAACTGTAATCCATTACAATGATGTTATGCTAATATTTGTGCAGTTGATTCTAAGCCAGGAGTTTACTGGCCATGCTGAACGTGCATTTCATACAATAAAAGCGACACAAGTTTAGGTTATTGTGCAAACACATGTATCACCCAGAACATGGTCAATAGGTGAAATCAATGGAATCTGTTGACTGGAACGTAGATCCAGCATGTCACGATTTCTCCATTAGGGGACGTTGCAAAAGGATATAATACGTCTTGTGCGTATGTTATGTAAAGTGGTGCCAATGCCCCTGTATGTTTTTCCAACAACGAATACTGAAAACAGGCTTGGAAACATTAAGGAACCTCAAACTTTTCTGCATAGGATTAATTTCATCCTAGTTTGAGTAGTATCATCTACAGTACATTATGCTCATACTGGACAAATTCCAAAGGTAAGATTGCTTTTTAAAGAAAGAAACTAATGCTTGAATTTTATATAAGTATTTGCATGGAAAACATTACCACATACATTATCTTACACAATGCTACAACAAATCATCATATCCATCCTCCTTTTTAGCTAACTTTTTTAACAATTTTTCCTTTTTCTTCCCCTTTCCTTGTGGTTGTAACGGGGGCAGTCTTCCCTGTGCAGTTGGTGCTGCAACTCTACTGCCGACGCTGTGACCGGTTCCCATTCCTATGAAGTCATCACCATATGCATCTTGCCGTGGATACTCGTAGTCTTCCTCGTCTATGGGTGTGTTATGCTGGTAGCCGCCCAAGGAGCCCCGAGTCCTGTTCAACCTGGAGTTATCTTCCCGCGAGTCATACTCATACCCTCCTGATGACTGTCGCCTTGAGAAGTCATCATAGGGGGCACCTCGCATCGCTGAGCCTGGCCGTGATGGATGGTCATCAGACTCAAAGCCTCCATTGACATTCACGCCCTGTGCTCCCAGGGAACCTCGCTTCATCCTGGACTTCTTCTTGAGGCTATCGTTAAGCGGACTCTCTTCATTCAGTGAGGACACCAGGCTCAGTTGGGAGGAGCGCTTCTTGGTTCCTCCAAGACGTTTTTTAGGACTTCTGATGAATAGAAAGTGACCTTTCAGCATGCCTAAGCACTGGCACATACAACACACTACTGTCCATAAAAGTTTAAGAAATCAAATGGGACAATTTCCTCAAAACCTTTGCCTCTAGAGTTAGGTTATGTTTGTCAAATGACAGACTGGGTGTTCCTTTACATTTCAGCCTGTTTTCTTATATTTAGCTGACCGACCAAAATCATGAGGTGCAGCTGACAGTGCAGCAGGATAGGAAAACTGGTTATCTAGTTGACATCAGAGTAGGGTGGTAAGGCTTCTAGATCTGACAACACAGTAGGGTAGTAAGGCTTCTAGATCTGACAACACAGTAGGGTAGTAAGGCTTCTAGATCTGACAACACAGTAGGGTGGTAAGGCTTCTAGATCTATCTGACAACACAGTAGGGTGGTAAGGCTTCTAGATCTGACAACACAGTAGGGTGGTAAGGCTTCTAGATCTATCTGACAATACAATAGGGTGGTAAGGCTTCTAGATCTATCTGATAACACAGTAGGGTGGTAAGGCTTCTAGATCTGACAACACAGTAGGGTGGTAAGGCTTCTAGATCTATCTGACAATACAGTAGGGTGGTAAGGCTTCTAGATCTGACAACACAGTAGGGTAGTAAGGCTTCTAGATCTATCTGACAACACAGTAGGGTGGTAAGGCTTCTAGATCTGACAACACAATAGGGTGGTAAGGCTTCTAGATCTGACAACACAGTAGGGTGGTAAGGCTTCTAGATCTATCTGATAACACAGTAGGGTGGTAAGGCTTCTAGATCTATCTGACGACACAGTAGGGTGGTAAGGCTTCTAGATCTATCTGACAACACAGTAGGGTGGTAAGGCTTCTAGATCTGACAACACAGTAGGGTGGTAAGGCTTCTAGATCTATCTGACAACACAGTAGGGTGGTAAGGCTTCTAGATCTATCTGATCTATCTGACACACAGTAGGGTGGTAAGGCTTCTAGATCTGACAACACAGTAGGGTGGTAAGGCTTCTAGATCTGACAACACAGTAGGGTGGTAAGGCTTCTAGATCTATCTGACAATACAATAGGGTGGTAAGGCTTCTAGATCTATCTGATAACACAGTAGGGTGGTAAGGCTTCTAGATCTGACAACACAGTAGGGTGGTAAGGCTTCTAGATCTATCTGACAATACAGTAGGGTGGTAAGGCTTCTTGATCTATCTGACAACACATTAGGGTGGTAAGGCTTCTAGATCTGACAACACAGTAGGGTGGTAAGGCTTCTAGATCTGACAACACAGTAGGATGGTAAGGCTTCTAGATCTATCTGACAACACAGTAGAGATGTAAGTAGTAGCAGTGTGTAATTAGTAACTAGTGATGTTCACACCAGTGCTGAATTTCTTGGCAATAGGCATCTGCCAGTTAACACACAACCCAAATCTAACTTAATATTTCTGACATTTTCAGTTAATTCATATTTGCAAATGCAACACTAATCTTCCTTTACATTTTCATGTCCACTGTTTTCATAATTTCCTGTTATCAGTATAAAAAATAAAACAGATACACAACCTTTCATCAATTCTCTTTATATTTGATGAATAAACAGAATTTATCAAATGTAGAAAATAACTGTAAGATCTCATGAATGTTACTTTCCTTAAATCAGTTTTTTACATTACAAAAATTAAAATTCACTACAGACAGTAATAAAATCAAAACACAGAATTTATGGGCATAGATGGAAGGTGCTGAACTGTAATATTGATAATGTGATCATGGTGATATCACTCAGACTTGTGCAGATTACACCCAGACATGTTCTTAAGGCGGTATGCCAGTAAGGTACCTACCCGCGGTTGCTGCGGAGGGAGCTCTGTCTGCTGGATAGCCCGGATGCCAGCTGTGATGCTCGAACACGCCCACCAGAGAGAGTTGCTGTACAAGCATATACAACTCATTATTTAACACAAATCTCAGGCTTTATCTCCAGATAAAAAAAGGGGTAGCCTTGTGGTTAAAGCGTTCGCTTGTCGCGCCTAAGACCCAGGTTCGATTTCCCACATGGGCACAATGTGTGAAGCCCATTTTGGTGTCCCCCGCTGTGATATTGCTGGAATATTGCTAAAACCGGTGTTAAATCATACTCACTCACTCCAGATAAAATATGCATTTGATTATATATATTTACACAGTTCTGACAGCAGAGCACAAGGTAAAACTAAGATTTCTTAGCAGTATTTTATGGTTCTAGTATATCTTACTCTGACTGTACGCTTGGTTGTGCTTCTGCATCCTTGTTTGCAATCTTGTCCAGCATTTCCTGCAGCTGCGTCTGAGACTTCCCCGGGTGCAGCATCTGCAGCACCAGCACCAGCTCCTCCGTCTGCACCCCGCCCACCTTCACCAGGCCTGCTATAAACTGCAGCTCCTGCACCATACACAGAACACAGACTCACACCACGTCTTATAGGATTGAACAGGGACTCACACCATGTCTTATAGGATTGAACACACTCACAACACGTCTTATAGGATTGAACACAGACTCTCACCACGCCTTATAGGATTGAACACAGACTCACACCATGTCTTATAGGATTGAACACAGACTCACACCATGTCTTACAGGATTGAACACAGACTCTCACCATGTCTTATGGGATTGAACACAGACTCACACCATGTCTTATAGGATTGAACACAGACTCACACCACGTCTTATAGGATTGAACACAGACTCACACCATGTCTTATAGGATTGAACACAGACACACACCATGTCTTATGGGATTGAACACAGACTCACACCATGTCTTATAGGATTGAACACAGACTCTCACCATGTCTTATGGGACTGAACACAGACTCACACCACGTCTTATAGGATTGAACACAGACTCACACCATGTCTTATGGGACTGAACACAGACTCTCACCACGTCTTATAGGATTGAACACAGACTCACACCACGTCTTATGGGATTGAACACAGACTCACACCATGTCTGTCTGAACACAGACTCACCATGTCTTATAGGATTGAACACAGACTCACACCATGTCTTATAGGATTGAACACAGACTCACACCATGTCTTATGGGATTGAACACAGACTCACACACCACGGGATTGAACACAGACTCACACCATGTCTTATTTGAACACAGACTCACACCATGTCTTATAGGATTGAACACAGACTCACACCATGTCTTATGGGATTGAACACAGACTCACACCACGTCTTATGGGATTATAGCATTGAACACAGACTCACACCATGTCTTATAGGATTGAACACAGACTCACACCATGTCTTATCACACCACCATGGGATTGAACACAGACTCACACCATGTCTTATAGATTGAACACAGACTCACACCATGTCTTATGGGATTGAACACAGACTCACACCACGTCTTATAGGATTGAACACAGACTCACACCATGTCTTATGGGATTGAACACAGACTCACACCACGTCTTATAGGATTGAACACAGACTCACACCACGTCTTATGGGATTGAACACAGACTCACACCATGTCTTATGTCTCACACCACGTCTTATGGGATTGAACACAGACTCACACCATGTCTTATAGGATTGAACACAGACTCACACCATGTCTTATAGGATTGAACTCACACCATGTCTTATGGGATTGAACACAGACTCACACCATGTCTTATGGGATTGAACACAGACTCACACCATGTCTTATAGGATTGAACACAGACTCACACCACGTCTTATGGGATTGAACACAGACTCACAGGACAGACTCACACCACGTCTTGATAGGATTGAACACAGACTCACACCATGTCTTATGGGATTGAACACAGACTCACACCACGTCTTATGGGATTGAACACAGACTCACACCACGTCTTATGGGATTGAACACAGACTCACACCACGTCTTATGGGATTGAACACAGACTCACACCATGTCTTATGGGATTGAACACAGACTCACACCATGTCTTATAGGATTGAACACAGACTCACACCATGTCTTATGGGATTGAACACAGACTCACACCATGTCTTATGGGATTGAACACAGACTCACACCATGTCTTATGGGATTGAACACAGACTCACACCATGTCTTATGGGATTGAACACAGACTCTCACCACGTCTTGTAGGATTGAACACAGACTCACACCACTTCTTATGGGATTGAACACAGACTCACACCATGTCTTATGGGATTGAACACAGACTCACACCACGTCTTATAGGATTGAACAGACTCACACCACTTCTTATAGGATTGAACACAGACTCACACCATGTCTTATAGGATTGAACACAGACTCACACCACGTCTTATGGGATTGAACACACTCACAACACGTCTTAAAGGATTGAACACAGACTCACACCATGTCTTATGGGATTGAACACAGACTCACACCATGTCTTATGGGATTGAACACAGACTCACACCATGTCTTATGGGATTGAACACAGACTCACACCATGTCTTATTGGATTGAACACAGACTCACACCAAGTCTTATGGGATTGAACAGAGCTTACAAACCAAGTTCAATATCTCTAAATATTAGATATTATCACTGCTTATTTTCACTCTGAGATGTTTGTAAACAGATGGATGATTGGAATGTACCTGCGGAACAGTACAGGAGATCCACAGACTACTAGACACATCAATGATGATGATCATAATAAACCTTCAATGACATGTGAATGAAATTTTGGTGTGTTGTGACCCAGACACTGAAGTAGTCTGAAATTAGTTCTTCCAGTTACTCATCTCATCTAAAAGCCTTTCAGTTAACTTGCCACCACCATATGAGCAACATTCTGGGTCTAACATATCTCTGTGTTTACATGGCCGTAGCAGTGACCTAATGTCCATCAAGAAATACAACTACCTGGTCTTGAAGAGCTTTCTGTTTGTTCACTTCATACTGACGTCGGATGTCCTCCAGGACTTGAGTAGTCTCCCTTTCCATCTGGTTTCTAACACACAAGAAATACACTCGTTATTCAATAAGTAAGATCATGATGACCTATCTGCTCAGCCTGTACGACATATCTAACAAAGATTCTCACAGTCATATCACCTCCATGCCAAGTCAGCCCTACCTGAATTGTTCCATTTGCAACATCTGTTTATGCATCAGGAGTGCACGACTGATCTTTGAAGCAGTCTTAGATCTTGCTGTCTGCATTATCTGTTCCATCTCCTGCTCCTGCTTCTGCAGCAATGACTGCTCCTTCTGCATCAGCCGCTCCTGAAGTTTCGCCTGCATAGCCTACAATAACACAAGTATCACACACATACAGTACTACATGTTCTATGAATTTGTTTACTGTCACTAATAGCTTGTCTGCAGGCCCTACAAATATATGCTCATAACTATGTTATACTACCAAGCATCTAAGACAAACACACTTCATATGATGAAAGCCCATCGTTTCACATGTAGATGCATGTATACTGCAACAGCACCAGTCTGCATGGTGAGATGTATTATTGGTGCTATCATTAGGCATATCTCAGCATCTACTGCTTACATTTCTATAAGATTTTTCAGGGACTCACTTTTTCTTGTTTTTTCCTCTGTGAGTCAAGCTTTTTGTTCAACTGCTCCTGTCTCTGAAACATCCAGGAAGAACTCACATGCCATTATTACTTTATGAAATACACAGCAAAAATGTACGGACATCTTAACCAATTTACTAAATTCTGGTCATCTTGTCACCTTTTGTTTATATAGACAACTATATACATGTGCAACTGTGTACAAATGCAACAAAAATAAAGAAATTATGAAAAAAATAAAAAAAATGAAAGGGATACCATTAACTGATCACAGTTACTGTCGTCTGTACAACACATATTTCCTAGGTGTGAATGACATACCTCCTTGTGTGTCTCTATGATACGCTCACACTCTGGGGAGCTGAGGACGCCACGATCTGTCAGCTCATCCATAAGGTTCACCTTGAGGTTATTAATGGCCTTCTGTTGTTCTTCAATCTGGGCCATCTGAAAAGAACATGGAAACTTAACAATATTCCGCTCAACAATAATGCACCTAGAGGAGACAGCAGATCGATGCTGTGAACACAGTCTGTTCCTTCACTGTACAGTCTCAGTGATACATCTCCTGATGACCCTATGCTTATACAGTCATGCATTACCTCTCTTGCTTTCTGCATCTGCAGGGCAGCAATCATGGCTCCTAGTCTCTCCTCCTGGCTCTTCAAGGCAAATGCTCGCTCCTTTGTCATCTCCAGCCGAATCTTCAGAAGAAAAACGTTGAGAAATCAGTTTGATCCCAGTGAAATGATACAGAATTGATTCTTGGTGTTTGTGAAAATGTACTTCCAGAATGCCCAGTAATTTCTGTCTGAGCATTAAAATAAACAAAGGTGACAAACAATTTGGCTGCAGTTTTAGCAACCTATCTTATACTGGTGTAGGGCCACATATGTTTGTTGGTGATGCTAACCTGTGACAGTTCCTCCTCCAGATTCAGCTCATGACCTTGCAGTATTGTGATCCGTCTTACTGCATACTTCTTCATCAAGGCAGCCTCCTGTCGATGTGTGGCAGCATCAGATTCTTCACCATTGTTCTCGGCAGCTCCACGGTGCTTCTGTAACAAAAATGAGAATCAGATAAAAACATATTCTGCCCACATCTGTTACCTTCATCAGCAGTCATCTACCCATTACTGTTGCTTAATCAGCCAACATCTACCCATTACTGTTGCTTCATCAGCTAACATCTACCATTACCCTTCATCAGCAGTCATCTACCCATTACTGTTGCTTCATCAGCCAACATCTACCCATTACTGTTGCTACATCAGCCAACATCTACCCATTACTGTTGCTTCATCAGCCAACATCTACCCATTACTGTTGCTTCATCAGCCAACATCTACCCATTACTGTTGCTTCATCAGCCAACATCTACCCATTACTGTTGCTTCATCAGCCAACATCTACCCATTACTGTTGCTTCATCAGCCAACATCTACCCATTACTGTTGCTTCATCAGCCAACATCTACCCATTACTGTTGCTTCATCAGCCAACATCTACCCATTACTGTTGCTTCATCCCAATACTGTTGCTTTCATCAGCCAACATCTACCCATTACTGTTGCTTCTACCCATTACTGTTGCTTCATCAGCCAACATCTACCCATTACTGTTGCTTCTACCCATTACTGTTGCTTCATCAGCCAACATCTACCCATTACTGTTGCTTCATCATTACTGTTGCCATCAGCCACTACCCATTACTTGCTTCATCAGCATCTACTGTGCTTCATCAGCCAACATTACTGTTTGCTTCATCAGCCAACATCTACCCATTACTGTTGCTTCATCAGCCAACATCTACCCATTACTGTTGCTTCATCAGCCAACATCTACCCATTACTGTTGCTTCTACCCATTACTGTTGCTTCATCAGCCAACATCTACCTATTACTGTTGCTTCTACCAACATCTACCCATTACTGTTGCTTCATCAGCTGACATCTACTGACTTCAAGCTACAAATTACTGTTGTCTACCTCTTCATCAGATACATCTACTAAATACATTACTCTGATAATGACATTATTTTATTTTGTCGTCTGATCATGATGCTATTCACTTCCAACTCACCTTAATTTCAGTGTCCTGTTTCTGCTGTAGCTTCTCGAGTTGCTGCGCCCTTCTCTGTGCCAGTTTATCCTCCAACATTCTCTTCTGACGCAGCTTGTTCAGTGTCAAGCTACATTAAAATACAGCATATTCTATCAATTGTACAGACTTTACTTTAATAACATGTATGTAAAAGATACCTGTACTGTACCTACCTATTTTCTAGCTGTACCATCTGTTTTTCATGTTCCTTCAAGATGCGATCTCTCTCAGCCTCAGAAATTGACATCTGGCTGTTAATCAGCTTGCTGGACAAAATGAGAGAATATGAATAAGTTTCTATCTGCATGACTGTCATGTCAAGGTACAAGGTCATAATGAATTTGAGTAGCTTTCTTACAATGAATTTCAGAGTTCAGTGTTATTTTCAGGTTGCGTCCGGTGTGCTGCACTCACTTCACGCCCTTGGCCTCATGCTCCCTTAGCTCTTCCTGCTCCTGCTTCTCCTGCGCCCTGCGCTGCTCCCACTCCTGCTGCCTCTGCAACAGCGCCTCCTTCAGCTTCTCCTTCTGCTTCTCCCTCTCCCCCTCCTGCCGCCGCAACAGGTCGTTCAGTTCTCGGTCATGATCCTTCAGGAACTTATTCATCTGACTTTCACTCATTCCTTCAGTTAAGCAAAAAATAAAACAACTGAATACATAATGTGGTTTTAGAAAGCAAGAGAGAAATTTGTAATAAACTTGAGACATTCACCTTATCCTGTATGTCCTACATGACAACTCCCTAAAGATCCGGGTTAGAATTGGCCTTCAGTAACCCATGCTTGTCGTGAGCGGTGACTTTAACAGGATCGGGTGGTCAAACTCATCGACTTGGTTGACATATGTCATCGTATTCAATATGCGTAGATCGATGCTCATGCTGTTGATCACTTGATTGTCAGGTCCAGACACAACTATTTACAGACCACCACCATACAGCTTGAATATTGCTGTGTGTGGCGTTAAACAACACCCAAACCAAAACATTTGACACCCTTAATATACTACAGGACAGCTATCAAATAACATCCTGTATGTATCCTATATGACACCTACCATATACCACCCTATATACATACTTTAAGAAACCTACCATATACCACCCTATATATATACACCATTAGAAACCTACCATATACCACCCTATATGATATATACTTTAAGGTACCTACCCTCCCCTTGCAGGTCAGCAAGAAGCTTCTTCTCCATGTCCTTTAGTTCTGTCCTGGCAGTGAATGCAATTTGGTTCCTTGATTCCTCCAATTCATGAAAATGCTCACCGTCAATATCATTCTCAAGGTCACTTAACTCTGTACGATGATGTGATCTGAGTTTCAGCAAACCTTCAGCAAATGCTATTGGATCTGAAGTTAGATAAATACAACAATTAGCTGTAGATCTCAGAAAAGACCATACCTCACCCTACTTTAAACATAAATGATCTGTCCTTCAGTTAAAGGACCTTGACCTAATCAGCCATGAACTGCAATAACAAAACTCCAAATATTGTGGATACACTCAATCTCAGGAAAGCTGTATCCCATCTTGATGATTTCACCTTCAATGTTATCCTATCATTTTCTCTTTGCAAGAAATAGTTGTGTTACAAATAGAAAATCTCCACACCAGACTTCCAGTTGTTTCGTAATCAAACTATTCCCAAATCATCACATGATGTGTGAGGAATTATAATCAAGATGAAATATCACTAGAAGAGAACATACCAATACTGCTGTCTGTTTGTTGGGCCGTACTCTTGCTGATGAAATCCTGAACTTCTTGGTCTTGCTGTTTCTTCTTGTCCAACAGTCTCTGCTGTTTGCGCTGACTCAGCTTTTTTGTGTAGCTCTTCTTCCTGTCTCCCCTTTTCCTTCTCCATCTTGTCCTTGACAGTCAGCATCTCCTCCTTTACCTTCTTGAGGTATTCATCTACCTGTGCCTCACTCAGGACCTCTCTTGCGTAACCATAGTAACATATGACATGTATTAGCTACAGGCTCTTATCTGCCTGTGCCTTACTTAGGGCCTCTCTCTTGGATAACCATAGTAACAAATGACAAGTATTAGCTACAGGCCCCCATCTGCTTGTGCCTCACTTAATAACTCTCTCCTGGGTAACCATGGTAACAACTGATCAAACTACCTATATATGACTCACTCATATATACACACAACTACTACTACTGCCCATCACTATTGTAAGCCACTAATTGGAAGGCAGATAAGTTGACTGAAGTCCCATCCACTCACTTGCCTATCCGTTGTATAGCGGTGACCTGGTGTCCTGCCATCGTGTTGAGCATCTCCACGTGATCATCCTCCTGCCCCTCCTGCAGAAACACAGTGGCAGTTATATGTATGTGTGTATAATATTCTCCCCCAGAAAAGTGGGGATCATGAAATATATATGTTATGACTGGTTGCCAGAAGAAATATGACTACAAAAGATTTTCAGATTTCAACTTCAGAACAGAAAGCTTATGCCCCAAAACAGTGCCAGTATGTGAGAATGTCAGGGTGTACTTACACTTGCATGTGCCAGAGCCCTTCGTCGTGCTAGTTTCTCCTCCAGGAGCATCCTCTGACGTGAGATCTCCTCGTCGTACATGCGCTGTAGCCTCTCCTGTTGTTTTGTATGCTCCTTCAGCAGCCAGTCAGCTTGTTGTGCAGTCAACTTCCCCGTGCCACATGTGTTGTTCAGAAAGTGCTGCTGTTCTTCTTTGATGCCCATACGTTTCCGAATAGCAAACTCCTGCAAAATATACACGGTGCCAATCAGTTTATCCATTCTCATGCATATCTTGATGTCTAATCAAAACCAGTCCTGTTTCTGGTAAATGTTTGATGATATCTTCATATCTTGTTTCAGAAATGTCTGCTACAGGAATCAGTGGTTCACTTTTACATTATATAGAGTCCAACCTTTCTCAGTTTTTCTGCCTCCTCGTTTTGCTCGAGTGCAAGGATGTAGGTGAGCTCATTCTCCTCCGTCTGGTGCTGCTGATCCAACAGTGACAGCAGAGCCTCCTTCTCCTGGAGACAGAAATATACACTGCATCATCACATGGTCCTATAACATACATGCTCCACAGTTTAAGGCTGTAAGTGTCATCCATCATCACTAGGGTTATTGACATATATTACAGTATACACTACAGAGCCAACGTAGAAACCAGACTGATGACTATTTACATAATGTTTCTCTTTTCATTCATGAAACATTGTAATATTACAAAACTCTGGCATACCTGAGTCAGAGACCTTACATAAAGCCAATGATAGGGTGGACTAGTTACAGGCAATGATATTCATTACGTTCATTTGGGGGAGCTGGGACTTACTAGGTGTTGCAGAAAGGTGACTATTGCCATCACTGCCTTGCCTGCTATAATCACTGCTGGATTACATTACCTTGGAATGTGAAATGCCACTCTATTGTACTGCTTTGTAGTTATTTGTGATCTTAGTTATATGTGACTGTTTGTTGGTTTCACACCTAGTTCTTGTACAGACTGATTCCTGGTTAACTCGAGCAACTTGGGAATCAACACATAACAGCATAAAAATATTGTGTTCCAACCCAAACCTCCTTTGTTTATAACATAGTGTGAATAAAGACGTAACTGTCTAACCTCATCAGTGGAGTCCCTGGCCATGTTCAGTGCATCTGCTTTCTCCTGCTTGTGTCGGGCCATCATTGTGCTGAACCGTTCCTGCAATACACACTTAAAGATGTCAGACACATCTGGCCACCACAACATCTCCAGTTTTCTGTTTGCAATATTTCTGCTTTACTCTGGACCTGACAATCCAGTGATCAATATTCCTAGCAAAGATCAATGACATCAGGGCATGCTGATGTACCCTGGACCAAGTCACAAGCTTGACAACCCTGTCCATTTGGTTGCCCCTCACAATGACCAATTCTAACCCCAGATCCACACAGGAATGTCCAGTACGACATTCATTAAGTAAATTTACACAATTTAATATCTATCCAGTTCATCTGTGCAGCAATACATCCACTCAGTCCAGTACAAAATGTCTCCTGTACGTCTGCTACATACAACATCTGTAAAATATTGCCCATCACAACTTCTGAACTCTATCAAAGTAAACAGTTGTTTATATTTTTCAGTGATGACGTTTACTATCATAGCTCACAAAAGTAATTAAACAAAGTATGAAATATTCACACAAGACAATTCCTATATGCTTTTCCTCTCCCCGTGGCATGGCAGCTGTTGTAAAATAGATGTAGTATAGATCTGCGGAAGTATAGATCTGGGTTACACAAGAGAAAACATGACAACAAGATCAGAAACAGGGTAGATTAATACACATGGCAGTGTCAACTGCTCCTACAGTTCAGCAAGCAGTCACCTTGTTCTTAGCACTGAGGTCCTTGTACACATCCTCCATTGCCTTCTTAAACTCTGACTCCAAATGCCGATCCAGTTCCTGGAGACGATGTTTGAAGTCTGTGACCACCTTGTTTTCTGTCTGTGGACTGATGTCGCCATTGTGTCTGAGACTCTGTATCAGCAGTTGTGAAGTCTGAATAGATGCCTCATTCTGCTCCTTCTCAATGTCGGTGTCCACGTGGATGGTGGACAGGATGTCAAGGCTGCAGGAGCAAGACAAGTTGGCAATGAAGTTGACCGGACACATCTACAGTGTCTACAGTGTAAATTCATAGAGCTGCTGTACTATAATACTACACCATGAATGACCACAGGATAAAAGTCCATGACAAAATTGCACAATTTAGAATCAATTTTATTTCTCAACAATGAAGGAAAATACCAAAAAAGTCATAAATTCAATTAACAGCTTTTTAATGAACTACTATACTAAGTAGGTTTATTCTTAATACTTTGGTTTACAAATTTACCAGTCATATAGGACATGGGGTATCATACAGGACATAGGGTGTCATACAGGACATGGGGAGTCATACAGGACATGGGGTATCATACAGGACATAGGGTGTCATACAGGACATGGGGAGTCATACAGGACATTGGGAGTCATACAGGACATGGGGTATCATACAGGACATGGGTCATACAGGACATGGGGAGTCATACAGGACATGGGGGGTAGTCATACAGGACATGGGGTGTCAGTCATACAGGACATGGGGTGTCATACAGGACATGGGGTGTCATACAGGACATGGGGAGTCATACAGGAGATGGGGTGTCATACAGGACATGGGGTATCATACAGGACATGGGGTGTCATACAGGACATGGGGTGCCATACAGGACATGGGGAGTCATACAGGACATGGGGTATCATACAGGACATGGGAGTCATGGACATGGGTTGTCATACAGGACACGGGGTGTCATACAGGACATGGGGTGTCATACAGGACATGGGGAGTCATACACACAGACATGGGGTGTCATGGGACATGGTCATACAGGACATGGGGAGTCATACAGGACATGGGGTGTCACAGGACATGGGGTGTCATACAGGACATGGGGACATGTCATACAGGACATGGGGTGTCATACAGGACATGGGGAGTCATACAGGACATGGGGTGTCATACAGGACATGGGGTGCCTAGACATACAGGACATGGGGTGTCATACAGGACATGGACATGGGTGTCATACAGGACATGGGGTGTCATACATGGACATGGGGAGTCATACAGGACATGGGTGTCATACAGGACATGGGGAGTCATACAGGACATGGGGTGTCATACAGGACATGGGGTGTCATACAGGACATGGGGTGTCATCATACAGGACATGGGGTGTCATACAGGACATGGGGTGTCATACAGGACATGGGGTGTCATACAGGACATGGGGTGTCACAGGACATGGGGTGTACAGGACATGGGGTGTCATACAGGACATGGGGTGTCATACAGGACATGGGGTGTCATACAGGACATGGGGTGTCATACAGGACATGGGGAGTCATACAGGACATGGGGTGTCATACAGGACATGGGGTGTCATACAGGACATGGGGAGTCATACATGGGGAGTCATGGGGGTGTCATACAGGACATGGGGGAGTCATACATGGGGAGTCATCAGGACATGGGGTGTCATACAGGACATGGGGTCATACAGGACATGGGGAGTCATACAGGACATGGGGAGTCATACAGGACATGGGGTGTCATACAGGACATGGGGAGTCATACAGGACATGGGGTGGGGTGTCATACAGGACATGGGGGAGTCATACAGGACATCATACAGGACATGGGGTGTCATACAGGACATGGGGTGTCATACACATGGACATACAGGGGAGTACATGGGGAGTCCTACAGGACATGGGGTGTCATACAGGACATGGGGTGTCAGTCATACAGGACATGGGGTGTCATACAGGACATGGGGTGTCATACAGGACATGGGGAGTCATACAGGACATGGGGAGTCATACAGGACATGGGGTGTCATACAGGACATGGGGTGTCATACAGGACATGGGGTGTCATACAGGACATGGGGTGTCATACAGGACATGGGGTGTCATACAGGACATGGGGTGTCATACAGGACATGGGGTGTCATACAGGACATGGGGTGTCATACAGGACATGGGGTGTCATACAGGACATGGGGAGTCATACAGGACATGGGGTCATACAGGACATGGGGTGTCATACAGGACATGGACATGGGGAGTCATACAGGACATGGGGAGTCAGGACATGGGAGTCATACAGGACATGGGGACATGGGGACATGTGTCATACAGGACATGGGGTGTCATACATGACATGGGGTAGTCATACATGACATGGGGGAGTCATACAGGACATGGGGTGTCATACAGGACATGGGGAGTCATACAGGACATGGGGTGTCATACAGGACATGGGGTGTCATACAGGACATGGGGAGTCATACAGGACATGGGGTGTCATACAGGACATGGGGAGTCATACAGGACATGGGGTGTCATACAGGACATGGGGAGTCATACAGGACATGGGGAGTCATACGGACATGGGGTGTCACACAGGACATGGGGAGTCATACAGGACATGGGGTGTCATACAGGACATGGGGTGTCATACAGGACATGGGGAGTCATACAGGACATGGGGTGTCATACAGGACATGGGGAGTCCTACAGGACATGGGGTGTCATACAGGACATGGGTGTCATACAAGTAATGGAGTCAAGACACGAGTGTTGTATAGGACATTTCTCGGGACAGAATGAAATATATAGGAGACATATGGAGTTATGCAAGACAAGGGAATATTACAGAGAAATAGGCAGGTCTATCAAAGGAATTTTGTGTACAGACAGAGGAATAAGAGGCCTCACTTGTCTATCTCTCTGTACATCTGCAGTTTCTCCTTGAGCGACAAGATGAGGATGATGCTCTCGTCCACGGCCAGCAAGCTGCAACATATACATCTCCACACACTCACTACACAGCTTTTGTTGCTTATTGAACACCAGATATTTGCCTGCAATCAACAACTACTTAACCATAGGCTTAAGCATTATGAAAGTTTTGCTGTGATATGAAATGTAAATTAACAAACTTTGTTTCTGTAAGTACATACATTTACCATTTTAAACTTCAAGTCTTAAACAATGCTTAAAATGAACTTAAGCAAAGTAGAAATGTAAACTAACCTAAAATCCTTTATTGTATTGAATCCTTTCTTCATAGCTGCCTTGGCATCCATTACAATTTTCCTCCCCTTCTCTTTGAATTTCTTCTTCTGTAAACATAAATTCAGCTTCAACTACATGTACATCCTGTGTAACCACAAGCACCACATGACCTTCTTCAGATGTGTTCAGTGTCTTGCAAACCTTCATAGGGCTGCTCAACACTGAGGGAATCAATCATGGTCTATGCTCTTGTCAGCAAAATTGTAGGCAAAATGAATCATATGCAGGTTTCAGCAATTGCTTGTTGAATATGGCTGCTGAATTACTTTGAACAGTGCCCAGTACAAGCCAGAGAGCATCATCTACATGTAATCTGCAAGAGACAGCGTATATGTACTGACCTCACTGCCAGGCCCTGGGGAAACAGCAGCCAGACAACCCTTGTTCCTGCAGAACCTAAGCAGGATGAAGACAATGAGGATGATGATGAGGATCCCAATTATGAGCCCCAAGATGAAGCCCAGACCTGTCAGACCGTGCTGGTACAGCAGCTACAACACATCAACAGTTTACAGTAAACCTGAGAAATACACAGACCACAGAATAAGAAGACATACATATGCCAAACATTCTGGAAGGTTTATAAAACATGAGGCAAATAGCATGATTTTGTTTCAAAGGGAAAGCCATAAATGTATTACTTAGTTGTTTGGTTGTACAACCAAGGGCAGGAAACATATTTGGTATATTTAGGTCAAGGGGATCTGTGTAGGTTTATATAGAACATTTATTCAGTAACGTCTGCTAATATTTCTCCCAACTGAGAAGTGGCACCCAGTAAATGATGTCCAAGGATTGAGTGTGTCAATGGAGTTGGTTGCTATTATGTTTCAAAGTCAGGTTAATACTGGTCCTCTTGACTACACTTGACTAGATCCCAAAAGGCTGTCATTTAGATAACAGAACTTAAGAAAGCCCCCAGGTCATGTATGGTATTCCAATGGGCAGCTCCTTTGGCATCTGACCATGGCATGAATTGATCAAATTAAGCAATGCTTTAATTTTATTTTCCTTGTTTCTCATTGAAAATGATGCCCATTTACCATGATAACAAACAAACACTCTTGTCACACAATATAGGACTATTCATAAATAACTACTGTGTCCTCCATACCCTTTTAGAATGGGTCAGAAGCAGATCAATGAAACAAGTAACAAATGTGTACTTTGGTCAAAACTATGACAAAAAGTGTGGAACTTTGTGTGAGATTTAGCCACCACTTACTGTTTCCTTTATTTCATCAGTCCTCTGTATACATGTCTCAGTCTCAACAACCCTCGGATAGTTGCTCGTCTGAAAACACAAACGTAAGGGCTCTGACTACTGCAGATATAACAGCACAAACTACAGGGACACAATATACAAAAACATAGACCACAAGGACACAGGCTATTGGGACACAAGCTACTGGGACACAAGCTACACGGAACACAAGCTACTAGGACACAGACTATCAGGACAACATGGACGTGGGTTAATGGGTGAACAGTTGAACAGTTACCCAACAGGTATGGACCAACCAATTAATGGGAGGATATGAGACATGATAAAAAAAAAGTGTACTGTCCTCTAAAACAGTTAGAAATACTGCTGAGCACGATGTTATAAAACAAGCAAAAGATAAAAATTAATAAATTGTCTGCAAAAAACATTCTGCAAGTTATAACGTCTTAGGCTCACTGATTAAATTTATGAAAAAACTGGTTTTGAAGCTGAACCTGAAAACATCATATTAACTCCATACAAAAACATTGGTTACAGGTGAGTGAAAGTTAACCTCAATCAAATAGTGGTTTTGTATTGATTTTCAATTTGGTTATATATTTGTACAGTGGCAGAGTGAAAGATGTCTTGAAGATAAACTTGTTGAAGCAGAATAACTCAGATGTATTAGAGATTGTCTTGCTTGTGGTAAGAATCCAATGTGGGAGGAATAAACCCACATTTACCACCAATATTGGCACAGTATAAGCAGCTATTTATAACTGTTTATATGACTTGATTGCTTTATTATCAAAATGAATATTATCAATATCTCACTGAACACAATATTTTGATCCTTTGAAGTAGGAAACTGTGTCCTCTTAATGATGCCTGTCTATTAATGTAGCAAGGAGGGATGTATTAACATGAATATATTTGCATAATTTGCTGGAATTGAGCAAAGTATGTTTGATATCAAGACGCAAAGGAAAAACTTACATCATAAAATGTGATAACACTGGGATAGTAGCTGAAGCCCTGGGGGAGCAATTTACCCTTGTTTCCAGTGGGCTCTGCAAAGTACTCCAGGAGCAGACTGCTGTTGGCTGTAAAACATGACTGACTGTTCAGTGTATCGGAAAAACAAGTACTGATGGATCAGACAAACAAGTATTGACAGATCGGACAAACAAGTAATGATGGATCAGACAAACAAGTAATGATGGACTGTTCAGAGTAACAAACAAGCAATGACGGATCAGACAAACAAGCAATGACGGATCAGACAAACAAGTAATGATGGATCAGACAAACAAGTACTGATGGATCAGACAAACAAGTACTGATGGATCAGACAAACAAGCAATGAAACAAGTAAGTAATGCGGATCAGACAAACAACAGTAATGACGGATCAGACAAACAAATAATGATGGATCAGACAAACAAGTATTGACAGATTGGATCAGACAAACAAGTAATGATGGATCAGACAAACAAGTAATGATGGATCAGACAAACAAGTAATGATGGATCAGACAAACAAGTAATGATGGATCAGACAAACAAGTAATGACAGATCAGACAAACAAGTAATGATGGAGTAATGATGGATCAAACAAACAAGCAATGACAAACAAGGATCATCAGACAAACAAGTAATGATGGATCAGACAAACAAGTAATGATGGATCAGACAAACAAGTAATGACGGATCAGACAAACAAGTAATGATGGATCAGACAAACAAGTAATGATGGATCAGACAAACAAGTAATGATAGATCAGACAAACAAATAATGATGGATCAGACAAAAGTAAGTATTGACAAACATCGGATGGATCAAAACAAGTAATGATGGATCAGACAAACAAATAATGATGGATCAGACAAACAAGTATTGACAGATCGGACAAACAAGTAATGATGGATCAGACAAACAAGTAATGATGGATCAGACTAACAAGTAATGACAGACCAGACAAACAAGTAATGATGGATCAGACAAACAAGTAATGATGGATCAGACAAACAAGTAATGACAGACCAGACAAACAAGTAATGACGGATCAGACAAACAAGCAATGACGGATCAGACAAACAAGTAATGATGGATCAGACAAACAAGTAATGATGGATCAGACAAACAAGTAATGACGGATCAGACAAACAAGTAATGATGGATCAGACAAACAAGTAATGATGGATCAGACAAACAAGTAATGATAGATCAGACAAACAAATAATGATGGATCAGACAAACAAGTATTGACAGATCGGACAAACAAGTAATGATGGATCAGACAAACAAGTAATGATGGATCAGACAAACAAGTAATGACAGATCGGACAAACAAGTAATGATGGATCAGACAAACAAGTAATGATGGATCAGACAAACAAGTAATGACAGACCAGACAAACAAGTACTGACGGATCAGACAAACAAGCAATGACGGATCAGACAAACAAGTAATGATGGATCAGACAAACAAGTAATGATGGATCAGACAAACAAGTACTGATGGATCAGACAAACAAAATGAAATCAGAATGATGGATCAGACAAACAAGTAATGATGGATCAGACAAACAAGTAATGATGGATCAGACAAACAAGTACTGATGGATCAGACAAACAAGTAATGATGGATCAGACAAACAAGTAATGACGGATCAGACAAACAAATAATGATGGATCAGACAAACAAGTAATGACGGATCAGACAAACAAGTAATGATGGATCAGACAAACAAGTTATGACGGATCAGACAAACAAGTAATGACGGATCAGACAAACAAGTACTGATGGATCAGACAAACAAGTAATGATAGATGAGACAAATAAGTAATGATGGATCAGACAAACAAGTAATGATGGATCAGACAAACAAGTACTGATACATCAGACAAACAAGTAATGATGGATCAGACAAACAAGTACTGATGTACAGTTCAATATATCAGTCAGTATTGACAATAATTTGGACTACTTCGATTCCAGTTACACATATTTCACTTTACTGTTAATGTACTCGAGGAATAGTCTTGGAAACATTTACTTCATCATCACTGTTGACAGTTTTGAAAATAAAGCAGAACTTGTTGAGATTTTGGCATATTGCCATGATGACCTACCTGGAACGCGGGCTTGCTGCCAGGTGATGGAGTTGCGGCCATTGTGTGTGATGTTTGGGTGAAACACCCCTGGGACAAAGCCATTGCCGAGTATGGCCTGCAACCCCGGCCCAACCCTCTCAAACAACGTCACATTAAACAGATCTGTCCAAGGCGAAATGGCATGGTGAGTCAACTCTGTCCTGATAAACACAAGCCTAGGTCCCCTGAACTGTACAACAAAAGGTCATAATGTAAGTTGAGCTATTTGAAAAGACAATACAAAACATCAACATATAGGGACAAATGTTTGATATATTATAACAATGACATATTGTTAAAACATGAAAATCAGGGCTGGAAATAACTTTACAATTGCTAGTGTACTCTGGTACAGTGGCACAAGTAAAATCACTTGCCCTGATAATGTTCCCACTATACTGGCCGATTTTCTTGTTGATTTTTTAAAATAAACAACATAATTAACATTGGAAAGTCAACTGGACACCGGTACAGTGTGATATACAAATTTGCTTGTCCGACAGAAAAAAACACTGGACTCGGGCGTCGGGCAATGGGTTATTTCCACCCCTGAATATACTTTTCATCATAAACAATTGTAAGTGAAGAAAAAAACTGGTGACTGGAAATAGATTATTGTACACTCTAGGAAAATAATAGCATTGTTATATATAGTTTTGAGCCATTTGCTTATATACAAATACCATAACAGAAACACAAATAGGTTTAAGAATTGGTGTTACACCATTATAGGCCATAAGCCAGAAAAAATTTCGGTACCACTCAGAGGGACCAAACACTTTTATGTTTTATAAACTTGTTATGGTCTCTAGACATCAAAATCGTATGATGGACATCTCAATTTTCTTAGCTCAGACTCAGGACGAGGCTAAATCCAAAATGGCTGCCAAAAAACCCCCAAATTTACCCAAAGGAATATTAAGAGGCTTTCCAACAACTTGGGAATGAGTGGACTGTAGCAACCTTGCTTTGATTGTCTATCTATGCACATCCTGAGAGCAATCAAGCTGCAATATGGTACAACTGTCTGGAACCTGAATATCCAACTTCACAGGCAACAGATGGTCATGGATGGGTGGAAGAAAATGGTGAAACAGAGATTAGCTGGATGACAGGATTTCTTGCTCCAGATGCTGTTCTTGAGTTCATTTCTTGCAAGTGCACAACAGTCTGCAAACCGCCAAGTTGTCAATGCCTTACCAATGGACTGAAATGCACTGTGACATCTCGGAACTAGGACTTCAATGAGTCCATTTTCTTTGACTCGAGTACTCGATGGGTGAGACTCGACTCGGACCCGAGTACTCAAAATACATTTGATTTTTTATCGTTCCATGTCTGTTAAGATAGTTACCTAATCATTTTAAGAAGTGAAATCTCAAACGATGTATAATAATTACTCACATCTGCAGACTTGTAACAACTAATACCATACAGCCACAAATTATGAGGAGTAAACTACTTAATCTAGGAGTTAATAAAAACATTATCAGATGGGTTAAAGAATTCAGGGTACATAGAACTCAGTATGTCAGTGTCAATGGCTATCAATCTTCTTTCCTCTCAACCTCTACTGGAGCTCCACAGGACTGTGTTGTATCATCCGTACTCTTTGTTGTGTATACCAATGACTGTTACTTGTCATTAAATGACTTGTTTACTGTGAAATTCGCAGATGACGCCACTGTTACTGGCCTAATTTCTGATTCTGAACCTTATTATCGTCAAGGCACTGACAAAACCGTAATGACAGTTTTTATCAAACCTTTATTCAAAGTGTGTTGACCTACAATTTTCTATGTTGGTATGGGGCCTGTCTGATCACAAAAAAAACAAACTTTTCAAAATTGTTAATACTGCCGACAAAAATTCGAGTATATTCCCTTTATCTATGAGCGCCAGATTGTCAAAAAGGCAACTAAAATTTGATTTGATAGTTAACATATTTTATCTCACCATTTTGAAGTACTTCTTTCTGGACGCTGCTGTCGATTACCTTCCCTCAAAACAAACAGAGCTCGACGATCTTTCATACCATCAAGTATTCGTGAATGCAACAAATATTTTGAATTATCACCATGTGATGACAACTAGAATTATTCAGCCTCTTTACCTATGTGGTTAATTGAATTATATCAATTTATTGTGTAAATAGCTTTTGTTTTGTGCATGTAATTATTGTGTATATTTTTGTGAATTGTGTAGCTTGGATGTATGTGTTGAGACAGTTTGGATGTATAAGAATTTCCTCCGGGATAATAAAGTTATATCTTATCTTAATATTAGACGTGAACGGCCGCTCATGCTCAGCACATGGCAGACAGTCTGTCAATGTAACCCAATAATTCGAGTTATCTCCCCTTTTCGAGTCCTCGAGTCCTAGAAAATGGACTCGAGTCCAGCTAAACCCGACTCGTCCTCGAGTACTCAAGTACCCGTGGAAGCCCTACTCAGAACCAGACTTGTGACGACATGGCATGCAAGGACATGCCGAAGAGTGACACTGATGATGAAGCTGATATTTATGATGCAGAACAGTGTGACTATCACTAACCAATTTAAGGAACTTATAGGTGCTCTCACTCTTTGAAGTTAAAGAGCTGTCTTCAGAATAAATGAAATAATGAGTTTTCGAAAAGGTTCTTTGAACTTACAATTTTTACTCTTACAAAATCAGGAAAAACAATGATTTAAAGGCATCAAATAACACAACTTGATATTAATTAAATCTTTTTAATCATGTTACCACCATTTTACCTCCCTTTCTTCATTTCCAACCTATTTGTTGAACTTTACTCATGTTTAAAGCTTGGAATTGACATTTTAAAAATAAAATTGGTTTTTTTCTGCCATCTTGGATTTAGCCTCATCCTGAATCTGAGCTACCAATAGAGATGTCCATCATACTTTTTTGATATATAGAGACATAAAGGAATATAAAAAACACTAAAACTTTTGGTCCCTCTGAGTGGTACCAAAATGTCAATTTTCAGCTCCTGGCTCATGGCCTATTAATGTCAAATAAGATTCAAAAACCCATTTGTATCAGTATTACCAAGAAAAACTATTACTGCCTATTATATGCCCATTGGCTGAAGGTGATGTTACTGGCTACTATGTGAGCATCCACTTGATTTTTGGTGGTGGGACCATTTTGGGGACAATAATCTTTGTTTGTTCCCAGCTGTATTCAACAAATTATTTATTTACTAAGCACCATCAAACAATGAATTGATTTTCACAGTGAACACAGAAAAATGGTGTTTTAACTGTTCATTTCTGTCACCATTGCCAACAAACTTTTCATTTTGGTCAAACTGTTCCTCTTAAACCTAACAAACCTTTCTACTTACAGACCAAATAACGTGTCTACTAACTAAGAGCATAAACCATTCTCCGTACTGACTAAATATAACCTTTCTACTATTTGACTAAATGTAACCTTTCTACTATTTGACTAAATGTAACCTTTCTACTATTTGACTAAATGTAACCTTTCTACTATTTGACTAAATATAACCTTTCTACTATTTGACTAAATGTAACCTTTCTACTATTTGACTAAATATAACCTTTCTACTATTTGACTAAATGTAACCTTTCTACTATTTGACTAAATGTAACCTTTTTACTTACTGACTAAATAATCATTCAGCCTACTGACTAATAAGTGAAAAAATCTGAGGAAAGCTAACAATAGTTTTCATAATATTGGTCGACCAGCTTTTCAAAGTTCAAATATATAAACTGCTGTAATTCTTGATGGTACCCAAACTTGAAAACAATCGAACCAATAATTTTCAAGATATTGGTTGAACACAAATGTCAGATGGAATTTCTTGACATAACCATATATATACTATATAATAAATTATAACAGCATTCATTATAATCAGTTGTAAGACAACCAGCTGTGATGTTGTACTCACTTCAAGTGTGTGCTGCACGGTGATATTGGGCACAGAGATGGTTTCATTCTGTGCGTTAAAGTTGATGTCATACTGTATCCCACCAGCTAGTGGCACACCAACAAGTTGTCCCCCACCAGTGACGGAGGTCGCTGACACCAACAAGTGTCTCTGGAAACACAATACAGACAGATCTGAGTTTAATGGACTTTTGTAAATGTTCCTGTTGCTGATCTATCACCAGATAATATCACTGATATAACATAGATATCTATAACAGTGTACTGTTTAAAACTATTCCAGACCTGGGAAAAGCAAACCACACTTGTATGTTGCAGGGAACAGGAGGACTTTACTGACAGGTATATAACAGGGAACAGTCACATGTTTCAGTAACATAGGATGCTGAGATGCTTACGTTCCTTTACTGAGAGGTCTTTCAGGATGACTGTGGGGACTTTACTGACAGGTGTGTTAGTGACATTAATGAATGTACACAGGTCGGTGAGGATGCTGAGATGCTATGCCCTGACTGTCACACCCATTAATGAATGCAGCCAGTTATGCCCTGAGCCACCAGTACTGCCAGCCACCAGTACTGCACACCAGTATATCATCGTGTTGGTCACACTGCAGGGGCTCTCACCATGTCACTACAAACATACACAATCATATCACAAGGGTACACACACATGAAGAAGTCTTTTTTATTATCTGGCATCTTAAATAAGACCGGAATTATTGTTGGTTCTTAACAGCAAATCAAAGAATACTCTGTACAATGTCAGACGGACTGTTCTCTTAGGCCTAAGTTCCAGGCCGGAGATGTAAATTCCATGTACATAATAGCTAGCAGGCAAGAGCTGTGTTGCTCCCTGGATCTTGTGGATAGAACATATCTGATGTCTAAATGGATTACTAGAGTTTAAATTCCTGAGTCTCTTTCTCTGTTTAAAGGCAATTCTATACAAGAATTTGGGTATTCTTGATATTAGTATACATCACATCCTGACACAACACATGGCAACTTCCCTCAGAAGTTCGATACTAATAATTACTATGCCACAGAACTATAAATGTGCTCTTCCTTCTCTGATGGTCTCCCTAGTAACGGTTACCAACAGGATTTGATCCCTGTGAACTTAGTAAGATCATTCTTAATTCTAACAGCAACACAAGTATTCACCAGCTATATATATCAATATGAGTGGTAGGAATTCTAAAAACTGAATACCAGGAATATTACTGCCACACATTGGCTTTGTAAAAACTCAAAATACATACTTTGTGCATTTAAATACTTAAAAACAAAACTAACATTTGATAAAATTAAATTGGGTGAACAGGAAATAACATAAAACCAACAATTATATATGAGAGGCAAATTAAAACTGTCAATATATACTATGTTTTAATGAGAATACAATGTGTTTTCCATGTTTCATGCCTTGCACAGCTTCAGCAATGGGGTTGTCTTCCAGTGACTCTGTTCCCGCCTTGACTAGTTTAATCACATTTAAGAGCTTGCTCTGTCTGCTGCTGATTTCCACAACTTATGTCAGCTAATTATGCCCTATAAATAACAACATTAAAGATGCATTCAGTGACATCTATGAAGGGATTCATTGTGTGGAACAAGACCCAGAGCACCAGGTGCTGCTAGTCTTGAAAAACTATTACAGACGTTATTTGTTCTTCTATATGTTAATGCATCAAAGGTAGTTGTACACATTCAGCAAAGTATAAATATTTTTTTTTAAATTCTGTTGGATAAACAAGAAAAATAGCAACAATTTTAGAGTTTCTTTTTCATTTACCACTTCATGATGCATCCAGTGCTGAGCATCACAAGATACATGCAGACAACCAATTCAACCAAGTTACACATCAGCCCATGAAAACATTTGGCATGATTTTTTTCTTCTGAAATTGACAATATATATCAAGGAAAAGTTATTTTTGCCAGAAATTCACTACTTTTTTTTCACCTTACCACCATTTAGATGTAATGCATCCAGCACCTCATCCACATCCTTGGCCAACTGACCATACTGTAAGTTTAATTGCAAGCAGCTGACTAGACTTGCACAAGTCTCTAAGGGTATAATTAATAGTTTAAATGAGAATTTCTAAAAAATATACATATCCCTCTAACAGACTGGCATCCTTAGACTAAGACTTGTGAAATCCAGATTTGGACTGGAACACCCATGTGTATATTGTTATAAACTGCCTTATCTGGGTAGTCATGTCAAGACTGTTAATCATTTACAGGGATGTACATGGCTCTTGGCAGCAAAATACCAGTTTTGACCTCAATTTCACCCTCATTTTAACACAGTGGTTGAGACCTGGTAATCTCAGTTATAGTTGACTGGAGAAATGTAATGAATCAATGTGGAAATGGTATTACTTGTGGGAATTCCATAGAAAATGTGCATTATAGAAGGAAGTTGTTCAGAACAGAGACCATATAGTATTATATAGTATTATATGGTATTATATAGTATTATATAGTATTATGTGGTCTCTGTTCAGAGGTAGGGAAAAGACAGAGACTTGTTTTCTTTTGGAAACAACCATAGGTAGTGATAACTGTCCACAACAAAACAACCATAGGTAGTGATAACTGTCCACAACAAAACAACCATAGGTAGTGATAACTGTCCACAACAAAACAACCATAGGTAGTGATAACTGTCCACAACAAAACAACCATAGGTAGTGATAACTGTCCACAACAAAACAACCATAGGTAGTGATAACTGTCCACAACAAAACATCCATAGGCAGTGATAACTGTCCACAACAAAACATCCATAGCTAGTGATAACTGTCCACAACAAAACAACCATAGGTAGTGATAACTGTCCACAACAAAACATCCATAGGTAGTGATAACTGTCCACAACAAAACAACCATAGGTAGTGATAACTGTCCACAACAAAACAACCATAGGTAGTGATAACTGTCCACAACAAAACATCCATAGGTAGTGATAACTGTCCACAACAAAACATCCATAGGCAGTGATAACTGGCCACAACAAAACAACCAAAGGTAGTGATAACTGTCCACAACAAAACATCCATAGGTAGTGATAACTGTCCACAACAAAACAACCATAGGTAGTGATAACTGTCCACAACAAAACAACCATAGGTAGTGATAACTGTCCACAACAAAACATCCATAGGTAGTGATAACTGTCCACAACAAAACATCCATAGGTAGTGATAACTGTCCACACCAAAACAACCATAGGTAGTGATAACTGTCCACAACAAAACAACCATAGGTAGTGATAACTGTCCACAACAAAACAACCATAGGTAGTGTTAACTGTCCACAACAAAACAACCATAGGTAGTGATAACTGTCCACAACAAAACAACCATAGGTAGTGATAACTGTCCACAACAAAACAACCATAGGTAGTGATAACTGGCCACAACAAAACATCCATAGGTAGTGATAACTGTCCACAACAAAACAACCATAGGTAGTGATAACTGTCCACAACAAAACATCCATAGGTAGTGATAACTGTCCACAACAAAACATCCATAGGTAGTGATAACTGTCCACAACAAAACATCCATAGGTAGTGATAACTGTCCACAACAAAACAACCATAGGTAGTGATAACTGTCCACAACAAAACATCCATAGGTAGTGATAACTGTCCACAACAAAACATCCATAGGTAGTGATAACTGTCCACAACAAAACATCCATAGGTAGTGATAACTGTCCACAACAAAACAACCATAGGTAGTGATAACTGTCCACAACAAAACAACCATAGGTAGTGATAACTGTCCACAACAAAACAACCATAGGTAGTGATAACTGGCCACAACAAAACAACCATAGGTAGTGATAACTGGCCACAACAAAACAACCATAGGTAGTGATAACTGGCCACAACAAAACAACCATAGGTAGTGATAACTGGCCACAACAAAACAACCATAGGTAGTGATAACTGTCCACAACAAAACAACCCATGGGTAGTGATAACTGGCCACAACAAAACAACCATAGGTAGTGATAACTGTCCACAACAAAACAACCATAGGTAGTGATAACTGTCCACAACAAAACATCCATAGGTAGTGATAACTGTCCACAACAAAACAACCATAGGTAGTGATAACTGTCCACAACAAAACAACCATAGGTAGTGATAACTGTCCACAACAAAACAACCATAGGTAGTGATAACTGGCCACAACAAAACAACCATAGGTAGTGATAACTGTCCACAACAAAACAACCATAGGTAGTGATAACTGTCCACAACAAAACAACCATAGGTAGTGATAACTGTCCACAACAAAACAACCATAGGTAGTGATAACTGTCCACAACAAAACAACCATAGGTAGTGATAACTGTCCACAACAAACAAAACAACCATAGGTAGTGATAACTGTCCACAACAAAACAACCATAGGGTAGTGATAACTGTCCACAACAAAACATCCATAGGTAGTGATAACTGTCCACAACAAAACATCCATAGGTAGTGATAACTGTCCACAACAAAACATCCATAGGTATGGATAACTGTCCACAACAAAACATCCATAGGTAGTGATAACTGTCCACAACAAAACAACCATAGGTAGTGATAACTGTCCACAACAAAACATCCATAGGTAGTGATAACTGTCCACAACAAAACAACCATAGGTAGTGATAACTGTCCACATTAAAACATCCATTAGTGTGTGGAAAGTGTCACAGAGAAATTCAATCAATTAAAACTAAAATACAAAGACTAAAAATCAAATGTCAGGAAACACTGAGGAGAGTTTCAGAAACATATACATGTACATTCTCTTCCCACAGAGGTTACCCCTGTCATATCTTCCTACGTAACCTCTGTTCTAATACGGCCCTTTCATGGTGTGAGCGTTCAAGACTCGTGATTGGAGACAATCAGATTTAGTTGTGCAATCAGCGACGTTGTTTCAAAAGTGATCATTCGCAAGGCCTCGGTAATTTCCGTATGCTTCGAGAAAACTAAACTTCTTCCCCTGCGCAATGCGCAAACGTTTCTTCTAGACAGAACTCAGTTATGTTATGGCGGATCAGTGGCGTCTCCATCGCCCTCGTTGACAACGGACAAACTAGCCATTAAACGTCTTGTGTGTAACATCAACACAAGTCCCCGGCAGATGGGGGATATTTGTGGCCGCACATTTGCTTGTGTTAGTCAAGTTGAATCTAAGTCGATGTAACAGGTGTTCTGATTGGATAGAAAGAAGGGAGATAATTCGTGTTGCGATCTTTTGCCGCTAGGGGATTTTACGAGAACCGGGAAATATGGCCGTATTAGAACAGAGGTTACGTAGGAAGATATGACAGGAGTAACCTCTGTGGGAAGAGAATGATACATGTATAGCACAACAAAAGAAAGGCGTATGAGGAAAGATGACCAAGCAGAAGATCTCTCTCTATTTGAAGAGCATGATAATACACTGGAAACACGTCACCAAATTCAAGTAAGTTACACACCATTCATATCAAATATGCACATTTTCGAAAACTTGTTAGGTCAACAACCACCCCTGAAAAAGCTTCTTAACTGAATATTTATTTAATCGAACAGAATGTTTGGGTTCATTTACCAGATAAAGAAACACACATGAAAAGCAAATGTATTCTAAAGACACATGTCAGTGATTATCAACTTGTATATCGCGACTTAG